GCAGATTATTTATAAAACAATTAATAATATTTTGTTCAAAAATATGTCTTTTAAATCAATAGCATATATATAAATTACATAAAAAAAAAAAAAAAAAGAGAGAGAGAAGATAATATAATAATATATATGTATTTTCTAACTTATTTTTACTATTAACCCCAACACTTTTTGTTTTTTTTTTTTTTAAAAATAATTTTATCATTGCTTTTTGTTTAAAATAACTTTTTAAATTTTATCTAAAATAATAATAGAGAAAATTTGTGAAAATATGAAAAACTTGTTTACTTACTTGAAGTTTCATTTTCTTATATTTCAATAATAATTTGTATGTGATATTTTGTGAAAGTAAATAATGAAAATATATTTCTAAAAAATCATGAAAGTTGAATGGAGAATTGAAATCAAATTTTAAGTAATAAATCCAAGTCTTAAGATATTCAAACTAAATTAATAGTGAAAATTTTGAGAGAAAAATATTATTATTATCTAATACTCCCTCTGCCCCACATATCCCGTGTCCATCTTTCTATTTCTGTTTATTCCACTTATTTTGTCACTTTTTTTTTGAAAAAGAATTAAACATTTTAATTTCATTTAATTTTTTTTTAATTTATAATTTTTTAAATTTTAATTAGACTAATTAGTTAATTCAATCTTAATTTAAAATTATTTTTATTATACGATAATTATTTTTTACTAATATATTTTTAATTATTGATTAATTATACTCCTTTTAAATTCTCGTTATACAGTGAAGGTAACACGGTAATCCGGACGGAGGGAGTATTTTATATAATTAAGATTACATATAATATGTGTGTATGTGTGTGTGTGTGTGAAGGGTGGATGACTGCTAAGACTGGCGTTGGGCAAGCAAGCTAGGTCTTGGTGGCGATGCATTATATATGTTGCGAATGATAATTAGTAAATATTACCACTTTGGTTAGATAGAAGTTTTAAGAACATTTAAAATTATAATTCTTTTTTCAGCACCGGCTGAATAATTATAGAAGAATTATATATAATTATATTATTTAATTTGATTAATTAACTATAATTATTCTTTAACAAATCAGTAAAGTCTTGAATTAAAAACGAGCAGCACTTGATATGTGCCGTATAAAATAACAATATATAACTTAATATTCTTAAGAAAACTATGGAAGATTGTCCTATAATAGTCTAATGAGCATTTAGTGGGAAGTATTTGCTCTGCGGATACTCTCGGATCCATGCAATCTAGAAGTAGAGGTGGGCACCATTAGCTTATTTGTAAATATACACATGGTTGATATTTATGTTGAATCCAACAAGTACCTAAAATTGTAGATCGTATTTTAATAAAAAAACTCAATTAATCAAATTTTTGATTAATTGAATAGATTTGTAGTATTTGCAAATGTTGGAATGTATATTGGTAAATATTGTATTTCCATATTCGGTTATGGAAAGTATTGATTACGCTTGATATTAGGAGAGATTGTAGCTATTTATTTATTCATTATACTTTAAATCTTTCTATAAAATAGGACAGTATGTATCCAATCTCGATATGATGAAATATAAAATTCCTTTTTTCTACATGATATCAGAGCAGGCTCTAATTTTTTCTTTCTTTCTTCAATATTCTTATGATGGCCGGATAGGTTTTGATGTTGAAATTTCCAGCAGTAGCAAGGAAAGTGATTTAAATTCGTCCCAACATTTGACATCAATCCTTCTGAATGAATTCAATTATTTGCTATGGTCGCGAGCAATCAAATTGCTCTTGGGGGACGATCGAAGGCGGGATTCATTAACGGCAAGGAAAAGTCACCTGGTGCTGCCAATGCTGGATTTGATGCTTGGGTATCAAAGGACCAGATGGTTATGTCGTGGCTGTTGCACTCCATGGAGCCGAATATTGCTGAAATCTTCAGCTATTATGAGACGTCGTTCGAACTATGGGAAGCGGTCTATGATATGTACGGTAATCAAAATAACTCTGCTCGAAATTTTCAAATTCAACAGGATATTGTCAGTATACATCAAGATGGGAAACCTTTTGTGAATGTTCTAGCTAGATTGAAAAATCTGTGGAATGAATTGGATGTATATCGACCACACTGTATTGATCCTGTTATTTTAAAAAAGCGGACTGAAGAAGATCGAGTATTTCAGTTGTTAGCTAGTCTTGGGCCGGAGTATGAAGACTTTAGGCGTAATATTCTATTGACTGATGAACTACCATCTCTTAAAACAATCTGTGTTGCAATTCAAAGAGAGGAGGTACGCCGGGAGGTCATGACGCAGGAGGTCTCTTCTGAAACTCATGCCCATCTAGTCCAGGTGCTCTACGAGAAGAAGCCAGCCAAGGGCAGAGCAGCTAACAAGAGTTCTGATCGATTATGCAGTCACTGTAATGTAGCATGACATACAGTCGATCGATGCTGGCTTTTACATCCAGAACAAAAACCCAAGTTTGAGAACAAGCGAAGTGGTGAAAAGAAACGGGATCACAAGGCACACTTGGCAGACCATACCCTGAACTCTTTCTTTTCGAATCCTATTACTCTGCTGAATGAGTTTGCCATATATTTGCAGGAACGACAAGAGAAACCACAACATAGTCCCTATCCAAGAGCAGAAGATTCGACTGCTCTCTTGAGCCAATTTTCGGGTTTTTTGAATGCTGGCAAATTGGATAACTCTCAAGGTATTCTCAAAGCCGTGACCTTTGCATTACATGTTAGTTCTTTACATGATATTTGGATTGTGGATTCCGGTGCAACAGATCACGTGACAAATCACCAATCTCATATCCGTGATTATCACCCTTGCACATCTCCCACTTTTATTTCAGTCGCTAATGGTAAAGGGGTGTCGAAGAGAAAATTCAACTCGTTTCTAATATTGAATCTGCAGTGCTATATGTTCCTTTGTTCCCTTTCCAATTGTTGTCTGTTAAGAGTTTAATTTCAACTCTCCATTGTGAAGTTCAATTCACGTCTGACAAAGTGTTCTTTCAGGATCGTCTAACCAAGAATACGATTGGTGAAGGCTTTCACATGCATGGCCTATACTACTTCATCTCAGATTCTAAATCTGCCGAATATCTTCCAGTTGCTTCTTCCATGTCATCTAGGGTTGATCACTCACTCTGGCACCGTCGACTCGCTCATCCCTCTAATGATGTGATGTCGCATTTGTTTCCAATAAAATCTAAAATTTCTTCCTCTTGCGATATTTGTCACTATGCTAAGTCTACTAGATTACCATTTGGTGTTTCATCTTCTAAATCTAGTAAACTGTTTGAGCTAGTTCATACAGATGTATGGGGACCTTTTTCTGAATCTATTGATAATTTTAAATACTTTGTAACCTTCATTGATGATTTCTCTAGAGTCACTTGGGTTTATTTATTGAAATCCAAAGGGGAGGTGTTTCATTTTTTTTAAGTTTTTCACATGATGGTTGTCAATCAATTCGGGACTAGGTTTCAAGTATTACAATCTGATAATGGCACCGAGTACACATCCAATGACATGGTAAATTATTTAACTTGTAATGGCATTGTGCACGAAACTAGTTGCATACATACACCGCAACAAAATGGTATAGCCGAGCGTAAGAATCGTGATTTAATGGAGAAAACTCGTGCTCTCATGATTCAAATGAATGTTCCAAAATCTTTTTGGTCATTTGGCGTGCTTACAGCAGTGTATTTGATAAACCTATTGTCAAGTCGGGTGTTGTTTTTTAAATGTCCTATGGAAATTCTGCAGAATTCGAAACCTGATATGACTCACTTGAGGATTTTTGGTTGCAAATGTTTTGTGCATGTTCCAGCTGTTCAACGTGACAAGCTAGATCTCCGTGCTGTAAAATGTGTGTTCTTGGGCTACTCTAGTACTAAAAAGGGCTATAAGTGTTATGACTTTGTTCACAGAAAACTCTACATAAGTCGGGATGTGGAGTTTGTTGAAGCTGAGCCTTTCTTTCAGGACTCAACAGAATGTCCTTTCTTTCAGGACTCAACAGAAAGTGTCTCTCATTTTGTCCTTCCTCTGCCGATGAATTTGGGAGCTTCGTGTGATGATCAAGAATTGTCTGCTTCTTTTGTTCCATTTACCTCGAATAAGGAACCGATTCATTCTCGGCGCAATCCTGATCGTGATCGACATCGACCAACACGATTGAATGATTATGTTGCTAATTCGACTAATTCTAGTCGACATCCACTTATTGCTTGTTTGACGTATGATAATTTTTCCCCTGCGTATCGAACTTTCCTTGCAGCAGTATCTAGCAACCCGGAACCTACAAGCTTCAAAGAAGCTGTAAAACATGTGGAATGGAGGCAAGCTATGGCTGAAGAACTCTCAGCTTTTGCCGAAAATAGGACTTGGAGTATTACGACACTTCCTCCTGGAAAGCATGTTGTAGGGAGTCGATGGATATTTAAAACCAAGTTCAATGCCGATGGAACTATTGAACGGCATAAAGCTCGGTTTGTGGCTCAGGGGTTTACTCAGCAGTTTGGGGTGGATTACAAAGAGACATTCGCCCCTGTTGCGAAGATGACAACGGTACGTGTTCTTTTATCAGTTGCAATTGATTATGGCTGGTCGTTGTCACAGATGGACGTAAAAAATGCCTTCTTACATGGGTAACTTGAGGAGGAGGTGTATATGAGACTTCCGCCTGGACATCATCAAGCTCAGAATCCTGAGTTGGTATGTAAATTGCACAAGTCAATCTATGGTTTGAAACAGAGTCCTCGTGCTTGGCATGCTCAGTTGAGTTCAGCACTTGAGAATCTTGGTTTTTACTCGGAGCTCGGCGGATTCTTCTTTGTATGTTTGACGACGATTAAAAGAAACATTGGTGGTTCTTATTTATGTCGATGATCTGATTGTCACTGGCAGCCATACAGAGTCCATTTCCGATTTGAAGTGTAAGCTTCAAGCAGATTTCATGTTAAGAATCTTGGGCAGTTGAAGTATTTTCTTGGAATAGAAATGGCCTCTTCGTCCAAGGGGTTATTTTTAAATCAGCGTAAATATATTATTGATCTGCTTCATGATGCTAACTTGGTTGATGCTAAACCGGCACCTACACCATTAGACAGCAAACTAAAGTTACAGTCTGTTGGCAAACTACTTCCTTCTCCAAGCATGTATCAAAAACTTGTGGGAAAGTTGATTTATCTGACTATTACTAGACCAGATATTGCATTTCCTGTGAGTTTAGTGAGTCAGCATATGCATGCACCTACTAATTATCATTTACAGCTTGTTAAACGGATCCTCCGTTACTTGAAAGGTTCAATCGGTCGTGGTCTTCTGATGACTAATAATGGTCACACTAATATCTTTGACTATACTGATTTTGATTGGGTAGGCAATACTTTGGATCGTCGGTCAACTACGGGATATTGTGTGTTTATTGGGGGTAATTTGGTGTCCTGGAAGAGCAAAAAACAGCACGTTGTTGCTCGGTCTAATGCAGAAGCAGAATATCAGGCTATGGCTTCTGCTGCATGTAAGCTTATATGGCTTAAATCTCTCCTTATTGATCTTGGTTGTACCTTTACTACTCCTACTGCTTTATTTTGTGATAATCAAGCAGCGATGTATATTGCTGCTAATCCCGTATTTCACGAAAGAACAAAGCATATCGAGGTCGACTGCCACTATATTCGACAACAAGTTCAATCTAAAATTATTGTTGTTATGTTCGAAGTTCGGAACAACTTGCTGATGTTTTCACCAAAATGCTTCCCACAACACAGTTTCTTCTTTTACTTAGCAAGTTCGGCTCCATCAATCTCTTGGATCCAGCTTGAGGGGGTGTGTTGGAATGTATATTGATAAATATTGTATTTTCATATTCGGTTATGGAAAGTGTTGATTGCGCTTGATATTAGGAGAGATTGTAGCTATTTATTTATTCATTATACTTTAAATCTTTCTATAAAAATAGGACTGTACGTATCCAATCTCGATATGATGAAATATACAATTCCTTTTTTCTACAGCAAATAATTTAAGCCAAATCTGAATATAAAAAGAAATACATTCAAAAGTAACTAAATTTCAATTAACTAAAAATAATTGCAATTGTTCTGAATCGAATATAATTAATTATTAATATAAATTTGTATATAATTATATTAATATATTTAGTTTAGTTTAGTTAATCGGAAAAAAAATGAAATTAAATCGAATTGAACAAATATTAAATACACAATATTTATATTAGACCGAATTTACTTGATTAATCAATATTCAATTCAATTTAATTTGGTTAATGGTTCGTTTTGAATTTTTCGTCCACCTCTGTATAGAAGTATTCAATAATGATTTTTTTTTTAGTCCTATACACAAGAAATATGTTTACTTTGCAATTTTAGTATATATTAATATGAAACATAATCATACAACATTTAGGAGAGAAATAGTGTACCAAAAGATTTTAAGCATATTTTTAGTGGTAAGAAAGAATATATTTTTTTTGTACAATAATGCATTCATAATGGCAATTATTTTTTGGGGCACTATTCATATAAAGAGTGTGGGGTCACGGTGGCACCTTCGGACCATGTGGTTCGTCCACGTCACTATCACGTGGCTTGGAAGATTCCTACACGGAATTTCTTCTATTCCCTCGTTTTTGGGCTTTCTCCTTTGAACTAGTTTCCAATCAAACTTTTTTGGAGTTGCTCTTGGTTTGGCTAAATTTAATTTAATAATTATCATTTTTAAATAATGTAGAAATCTCCAATCATTACGTGGGTAAATTTTCGATCGAATTTATTAATCTACAAATTAACTTTGACAAAGATACATTGCACTAAATGAATCATATGTGAAAGATAAATTAAATTTTTTTTTTATCGGATATAATAATTTAAATCTTGTTTATAAAAAGAGTTGTTTGTCCTATCAAATTTTTGTAATATAATTTTTTAATATAATATATATTATATTTTTTTTTCTAAAAAAATCAATGTTTAATGGGCCCTTTTTATACACAATATATATAGTAATGTTAGTAATAATTTTATAGTGGGTTTATTTGTTGATTTGAAATTTAATTTTGGGTTTGGAATAATAAATTTTAAAATTATAGTTTGAAATAATATAAATAAGTATTTATATGATATTTTAAATTTAAATTTAAATGTTTACTATAATATAAAAAAATAAATATTTAATCTAATATTTTTAAAATAAAAAATTCATAAATAATAAAAATTAAATTGAAAACCAACTAATAGAACCATCATAACCTAAGAGCTAGTAATAGTAATAAAGTAGATTAATTAGGATTTGTTTCTTTCTTTTTTTCAAAAAAAAATTCAAATATATTTTTTTCAAATAAATTAATATACTACACACCAATTATTTTTATATTGTCTATACAATTCATTATACTCTATATAAAATTTTTTTCTTCAAACCAAAATACAAAACAAACACATCATTAGGAACTTTAATATAATATGAGATTCATTTAGTCCCATTGAACTTCATCTGTCCCGGATTAATGGCCCTTTTCATACACAATATTTAAACTAATGATGTTTAATTAATTAATAATAGCAATTTAATATATTATTTTTTATATAATTAATAATATTGATAGTTTTAACATAAATTTAATATATACTATATGATTAAAAAAAATTAAAATTGCATTTAAATATTTAGAACATATATTGCAATAAAATATATATGTTTATTATTTATAATTAATATAAAAATAATTTTATAAAAGTAGTATAATTTTAAATATAGATCAAAATATTTGATTTTTGGGAGACAGACATAAATAAAAGAGTTTTAAGGGCATCATATATATATATATAATGTTTGTTATATATTGTGTAGTTTTAAATATTTGATTTTTAGGAGTTGGATTTGTGACCTCGAGGTCATGGGTTCGGTCACCTGCCACACATGGTTCGTTTAGTGTGATTTTTCTGTCTGATCTAGTTTGTAGACTATTAGTTTCGGCCGGGGATTCAAAATATATATATATATATATATATGTACAAAAATAAAAACTATATTTAAACACACAAGGAATAAAAATAAAAAATCAAGTACTAAAATATTGAATACTATATGGGCTGAGGTTCATATAATATTTCTATCCGAAATATTGAATACTCGACCCAAACTACTGAAGCAAAAAATACCCGACTTTATGCCCACTTCAACATTGAACTGTATAATTACATTAATATAAATGAAATAGAATAAATCAACTTCAAAATGATCATCTTCTTGAAGTCCCAAATCAGTTTTGCCTTATTTATTGCACTTCCCCCTTAAAAAATGAAATTAAATATATACCAGTTTTATTTTAGTTTTGTAATTTGTGTTTTTATGAGATTCTTTGGTATGATATATATATTTTTTATTCATAAAATTGAAAAATCACAATATTTTATAATAAAAAATACATCAAAACCTTACCTGCCAAAAATATTATATATATGCATATAAAAATTTGCAGTCACTCTATCATGTAAATGAAAAATATTATATTATATAAGTCTTATATAATATGCTCGATTAGAAAAACATCAACATGATTTGAACTAATGATCTTGCCGTCACCAACCACAACTATATCAATTTGATCACCCTTTATGTTCTGATAAAAAAAATCATTGAAATGGTTGGGGATGATGCATGAGATTATTGAGGTTTTATTTAGATATATTGAGGAAGTTTGGAATTTGAAAATATTTGAAGAAAAGTTGTTGTGAATTATTAGAGATGTGTTTAGATGTATTTGAAGATGTTTTAAATTGTAATAATTATGATGTTAGTTGATAAAATAAAGAGAAAATTATATTTTTATCCTCTAATCCGGTCAAATTATTATTTTAAACATTATTATCCTAAAATCTGATTTTTGGACAGTAACTGAAATATTATTACAATTTTTATCATTCGGTAACGGATAAATCACGTAACCTTCACATGGGATGGTTGAACAACACCGGATTTGATGTAGCACTAGCCGGAGATGATGTGGAGGCCATGTGGTATTTTTTCTGGTAATGACATGGCAATGTATTATATTGCAATTTGGACTAATTGAACCGAATAAATAATAAACAAGATAATGAGATATGTTCAAATATAACATCTAAAACGATTACAAGTGTATTTAGATATGGTTTGAAAATATTTTGAGTTTTAAAGAATTTTGGGATTTGTTTAATTTTAGTTTAAAATTAGAATTTTAATTACAATTCTAATTTAAATACTATTTTAATATAATATTTTATGAGAAAGTATAATTTATTTTTATTGAAAAATATGTAAATCAAATAGTGGTGATTTGAGTTTAAAACTCAAAACAAACACATCTTTGATAAATATAAAAAATAATTATTTAATATAATGTGAACATATATATATTAATGTGATATTTTTTATAATTTTTTTTATTAATATAATATTGCAAAATAACAATAAATTTTGATTTTAAGAAAAATATTACTCTCTTCAGAACTATAGTTTGAGTTGTGTTTGGTACGAGAATTTAAGGAATATTGATATTATATTGGTACTGGGTAAAAAGTACAAGTAAAATACTTTTTTGCCCTTGTGAGTTCATTAGTGTAAAAAGTAGTGACAATTATATAATAATAATAAAATTGTAAAAGTAATTTTATAGTATGATTATTTATAAAAATAAGACTATTATTTTAAAACAGAGTAAATAAGAATATTGTATTGAGACGTTGAGAGTATCAGAAAACTACGTGCAATCGAAAATTCTTATTTGTAAGAACCTTCATTAATAAAATGATAATGTCACATAAGAAATAAAAATACTCCCTTCGTCCCACATATGGTGTCTGCTACACTGTTGACATCGTATTTTAGGAGAGGTGTAATTAGTATATAATTAAGAATGTATTAGTGAAAATAATTATCATATAATATAAATAATTATACATTAAGATTAAAATAACTAATTAGTTTAATTAAAATTTAAAAAAAATTTAAAAAATTTAAAATGAGATTAAAATGTATAATTATTTTTTAAAAAACAAAAGTGATATATACGTGGGACGTGAGACAGATAGAAACAACACATAATATGTGAAACGGAATAATAAATAATAAAAAAATTATAAGAATCCTTTTTGGCAGAGAATAAGGCGAGAACCGTACTTTTATCTCTTTCCTCTACACGAGGAGAGAGAACAAGGTAAGTTTTTATTTTTTATTTTTTTTATTTTTTATCTAGGTTTCTATTTGATTTTTGTATGAATTTTAGAAATATTAGTATTATATTGAGATAAAGTAGAAATAAAAATAAAAAACTAAATTAACCTTATTAGTATTGTATTGTATAGTATAAATGTAATGATATTTGTGTGATATATTGTAAATTTATGTAGATGGTAGAATTAATAAAAAAAAAAATTGAATACTTTATTATAGAACGTACAAATGAAAAAATGGATAAATCTTTAAGGGACGGAGAGAGTAATATATATAATTAATATTATTTTTTTACTAGTAATATTGTTTATTATAAAAAATTGATATTTTTATTTATATTTTTTTAAAAAAATATTTAATTAAATTTTAATTAATTTTTTAAAAAAATTATCTAAAAGAAACATATTCATAATATATTTATATATTTTATTAATAATTTATAAAATATAATTATATTAATCAAATATAAAATATACTCCCTCCGTCCCAATATAATAGTCTTATTTTCATAAATAATTATATCACTATAAAAATATCAGTATTTTTTATTATTATTACACAATTGCCACTATTTTTTACACTAAACTCACAAGGGAAAAAAAAGCTTTTACTCATACTTTTTACCCACTATCAATATAATATTAATATTTCTTAAATTTCGTGTCAAACACAACAAACACTATAGTTCTGGGAGGGAGAGAGTAATAAAAATGTCTAAATCTCTTACACATTTTACTAACTAATAAATACTACTCACTATGTCCAATTTCTATTGTCCTAAAGTATATTTGAACAATTTTTTAGGTGTCTTTTTGTTATAAATTGAAAAATTTGTCCTTAATGGTATGGTAGCGATTAACAGTAGTAAATGAATGAATGGTAAAAAAATAAAATTTGTGTTTAAAAAGATAATTAGGACAATAGTTATTAGACGTCTCAAATAGGAAAGTAGGACATTAGTTTGTGGACGAAGGGATTATTATTTTTTAATTTACTATAAAATTTCTAATATATAAATTAATGTCCACGATTTTTAATCATTGTTAAACACGAACTTGCTTTGTTTATTTTTTATGTTTAAGGGCGTGTTTGACAATTAGCTGTTAGCTGCTAGCTAATTCAATTAGTTAATAGTTGTTACCTGATTCAATTAGTTGGTTTGACTAGCTGATTTGATTAGCTGTTTGTATTAAAATGCTAGGTAAAACAACTTGTTGATATTAGCTGTTTATACGTAAAATAACAATTAATGATATTTCTATTTTATTTTTTTCTAATATATTAAATTATGTTCTTTTAAGTTTAGAATGTTTGAAATTTTTTGTTATTAATTATTAAAAATTGTAAAGTGTTATAAAAGTATTTATTTTATTATAATTAAATTTAAAAACTAATATATTTTTATTGAAATATATAAATAGTTGTTTCTATTGAAAATGATGTAAAATATAAAATAATTAAATTTTTGTGTATATATTTATTATGTTAGTTATCGATTAGTTCATTATATTTATAATTTTCAATAAATTTAATTTACTTAATTTATCTTTAGTATAAAATTTATATAATGTAATTTTAATATAAAAATAAATTATTAATATTTATATTTTTTATTTTATGTTAATTTTAATAAATTTATATATTTTATAATTAAAATAATTTATATATAAAAATTAATTATTTTAAATAAATAAAAGTAAAACTATAATATAATAAAATATTCTAATATAATTAATAAATAATCAAAATACATTTATTTGTGCAAAATGCATAATAAATTTTTAAGGGCATATAAAGAATAAAAAATATTTTACAGAAAAGAAAAAATTATTTCAAAACTTTGAGTAAGTTAGCTTTTCAAAAATTAGTTTTTTGGGTTAAAAAAGCTATTCCAAAAAGCTAATTTACCAAACATCTAAATTAGCTTTTTGACCAGTCAAACCGCTAAAAGCGGTTGAATAAGCTAAAAGCTATTTACCAAACACCCTATAAATATATTTTTTTTACAAAAAAAAAATCAAATTAAATGTCGTTTAAATCAAAAATCAAAATTTTAAATTCAATCTAAACCTCCAAACACACCCTAAATTTCTCTACCACATATGAGTTTGAATTATTTAAAAACAAATAATAAAAATAAATAGAAAAAGATTAAATAGAGATTGGGCTGAGTGATCCAATACATGACCCATTTATCAAGGGGCAAAACCCCTCACCCAAATAAGCCCCACTCAACAATGTAATGTGATGTGGTATTGTGCAAAACCGACCGCCTCTTCAGTCTTCCCTCTTCCCTCGCAAACAACCGGCGGCAGAATATGGGAGGGAGAGGAAGATCTCGTACTCAGAGGAAGCACTTCCGTCAGAGCAGGGAGAACGTTTGGAAGCGCTCCAAGTCCGACCATTCTGATGCTGCTAATCTAATTGATGCCAGCGCTACTAATCTAGCCTGGGAGCCCTTTGCTACTCAGAACCAAGCCTTCGATGAGTATTACAAAGTAAGCGAGCCGAGACAACAACTGAATGCAAAAGGAATCCTTCCTTTATCTTTTACTTTTTTTATTTTTGAATTCCTGTTTGAGTTGTGCTTGCTTAGGTACAAGAAATTGTGCCGCCTCAAGAATGGGATGCTTTCATCGACTACCTGAGGAAGCCGCTGCCTGCTGCCTTCAGGATCAACTCCAGGTCATCAAGCTTTTTTCTGATGTTTATGTGGTTGGTCGTATGAGAAGGTTTTGCCTAGTTGAGCTTCTTTCGTATCGTGTTTCCGTACGCTTGTCGGTCTTTTTCCGTTCGAGAAACATGCTAATGAAAAGAAGAAAAAAAAAAAAATCTATTTTGATATTTGAACTTCGGTGCGGTTTCAATTCTCTATTCAAAGTTTGAATATTTTTTTTTTTTTTTTTTTTTTTTTTTTTAAAGTATATAGAATTGAAGTACTTCGAAATTGAAAGTAAAATACTTTAGAATTTTAAGTCCATTGTTTGGTATTAGGGAGTATTTGAAGTAAATATTAAAAGGGCTGGATTTGAAGTTCATTGTAGACTTCTTAGAAATCCATTGCCAAATGAATCAAATGGATTTAACGGTGTTATTTGAAATCATTTTAGTCCAATTACCCAAACCAAATGTGTCTAGATTTATTCATTTTTGTGCTTTTTAATCAAATTTTATGATTGATCTATTATTTTAATCAAAATTATTTAAGTAACAACATGAAGAACATCTACAGGTGCTATTTCCTGTTAAATAGTCAATTAGTTGTTCATTGGACTTGCCAGGTGATCTCTATGCTATTTCCTGCTTCTCCCCAAGCATGATGTGGCTTGAATTTTATTTTTGTCTTTTTGTTAAACTGTGTCCTTACAGAGACACTTTGGCTTAATTGTGTGTATATCACTTTACCATATGTAACTTGGCTGAGGTTTCCATTGTTTTTATTCAATTTTGCAGTAGTCAATTTTATGTGGATATTCGGTCGCAATTGGAGAATGACTTTATGAATTCACTTCAAGCAGAGGTACAATGTTTTCATTAGTTTGGGGTTTTCGTTTATTAATTACTGAGATTATCTTGATATGTTGACTTAGTAGTAATATTGACATTCTCTTCGTCAATTGGTAGGATGCTGATGGAAACGAAGTGGAGGCAATAAAACCACTGCCATGGTACCCAGATAATCTTGCTTGGCAGTCTAATTTTTCTCGCAACCAGTTGCGAAAGAATCAAATACTTGAGAGGTAAGTTTCATGCCAGCTACAATTAATTGTTTGATAGAATGGTATCAGAACATGACACTTACTGAAGAAATTACAAAAAATAAGCCTAATATTCACAGATCCAAAATTAATAAACATCAATTAAGATATTGTAAGAGATGTGTGATGTATCTTGAGGACTGAGGATGTCTTTTATGTTGATACTTTAGTAAAGTTCATGCAAACAATGTTAGCTAACTAGGTCATGAATGAATTGATTTATTTGTATTATGTGCAGTGCTGTTAACATTTTCAAGGCAATAATTGAGGCAGTAATACCATTTATCTGATGCATGGCCTAGCAGTCTAAAGGTCCTGTTTATCTGTCACAGTTGGTGGTTTCTCTCTTATCAGGTTTCATGACTTTCTGAAGCTAGAAAATGAAATCGGAAACATCACAAGACAGGAAGCTGTCAGCATGGTGGGCCAATTCACCATCTCAATCTTCTTTCCTCCTGTTTGTTGTTGTGATTTTTGCATGGATATGCTTACTTTCTTCTTCTTCTTCTTTATTTTTAATTTTTTTTAATTTTTATTTGTGTATATATATCTGTTTACGGTAGCATTTTATATTTTGATTCAGGTCCCTCCTCTATTTCTTGATGTGCGTCCAGATCATTTTGTTCTTGATAGTAAGCCACATCTTCAACTTTATTTCAATCTACAAATAACTTTTTTGTACTTCTCATTGTTTCCCTGGTGCAAAACATTGCTTCTTATGTTCTGGCCTATCACCTTTCGGAGTACACTGTATATTACATATGTATTGTCAATGCCCTGAAATTGTGTATTTTCTATTCAATATGGCAGTGTGTGCTGCACCAGGTTCGAAAACGTTTCAGTTACTTGAGATGATATACAAATTGATAGATCCAGGAACTTTACCTAGCGGAATGGTATACCACTCAACTCTTTGTCATTTATTTTTCACTCCTGGAAGAATTGGAATGCAGATGGATATGCTATATGCATGTGAATGATGTAGGCACAACCTAATATACCTCTGATATAGGTAATTGCAAATGATCTGGATGTTCAACGGTGTAATCTTCTTATTCATCAAACAAAACGAATGTGCACTGCAAATTTGGTAGTCACTAATCACGAGGCACAACACTTTCCAAGCTGTCATTTACATAGGAATCGCGCTGGTGATTCCCAGAGTGGATATATTAAAGAATCTGGCATTCGTCAACTTCAATTTGATCGTGTCTTGTGTGATGTACCTTGTAGTGGTGATGGAACATTACGCAAGGCACCTGATATCTGGAGGAAATGGTAGTTAGATCTAAACTACTGATATTCAGTCCATTTCTAATTTGATGGTTCTTTAGCTTCACATTATTGTCCATCCCTCATACTTACGCCTTATGTCAGGAATGCTGGGATGGGCAATGGTCTCCATGGTTTACAAGTTCAGATAGCAATGCGAGGTACCCTTTTCTATGAGTTGAATTTATTTTATATGTAAAGCTCTCCATGGCCTAGAAGTTCAGATAGCAACATGAGGCAACCCTTTCTCCAAGTTGAATTTGCTGTCTCTTACTCTCAGTTTATGCTTAACAGCTTGAAATATGCTAGTAAATCATCTCACCCTTGATGAGAGTGGGAACAACTACATCTATTAGCGTGCCAGTGTTTTCAGGCGACGCCTTGGCGTCCTGGTGGTGAACTCACCTTGCCGTTTGGCGAGGCCAGCGGGAGCCATGGCGGCGCCAAACGGCAAGTTTCTGTCCGGTTCTATGCCCGAACCGGTCTATGATCCGATTCGGTCTATGCCCGAACATAACCAGTTTATTTCTTTTTTCTCCCTCTTCACTTTGGTACGTCATACCTGTCCTTTTCTAAGTTGCGCTAGAGAATCAGGAGTATTTTTAGTAAAATAAAATATTTTATTACTGTACTGGTTTATTAAAAAATATTTATAAAAGATTATGCAGTAATTTATTAAATTATTTTATTAAAATAAAAGATTTAAGGTTATAATTTTGTATTTTGGATTGTATTAGAAATTTATTTGATATTTCATTTGAAACTAGTAATTTAAAGTTATAGTTTTGTATTATATAATAAATATAAGAAATTTATATAAGTCACTAATTGCCAAATTGTCGCCATGGCGGGCGACGTGTCGCTATGCCCGAAACCTCGCCGTGACAACCTTGGTTGCAGATTTTACTGGGGTGTGTTTTCTGCCCACCATTTTAATGAGTCGGTAACTTGTTAGAATGTAAAAAGAGGATGACTACTGTTTGTGTCTAAATGTGTGTTTATGTGAGTAAATATTCTCAAGGTTGGCCACTATGTTAAGTGGAGGACCCTTAGAATCTAGGTATCAAGTACCATGTTGGGGTTATGAATCTTAATACCAGAAGAGATTGGCTATTAGGTTGATTAATCAATTTCAGGAAATCATAGTCGATATCTTTGGTTCTTCCTTGAAGATATATTTTATGGTTTTCATGGTGCTCATGATCTTTTGATGTTACGTGATACTGTACTGCTAATTAAAATGTTCTCGCTTTTTGGGTATGCCAAAAAGAATAACATGTGAGCGTCACTTTTATCAAAGTATGATTGCAGACATTCCTTATCCATTAACTTGTCGAAAGTCTTTGGCTACCCCAAGAGAAATTTATTCTTATGTTTTTCGGAACCAACTAAGGCTAGCTTCTGCTAGGCATCCTTTCTTACTGAGATGGTATGGTCAGTCTGAATTCCAGTATTAGGTTACATCAATACAATCTGGTTAGGAACCTTTTATAGTAAATATAATGCCATGCTTCACATGACGTATTTCCATCAAATAAAAATGTTATGGATTGTGGAATTGGGTTCTTGCTTGGCCTTGGAAATAATTTCATAAACTGCTACATTTTTTTTTTCCCAGTTGAAATTGAATGTAAATTGATTTGATCACATCACTATATGCCAAATGATGAATCAAATGCGAGTTGCATAGCTAATACTTCTACTGCTAGTTGTATTATCCAATGAATAATCATATTTTGTATTTGGTAGATAGGGCGTAAGTGTGAAAAGACTAAAATACCTTTGAGTTGTACGGGACATAACTAATAAGGAATGTGTTATGAAATGAGTACTTTGGTATTTTTATATGAAATGATGGGATATTTTATAAATATTGTGGGGTGACACTTACTAAATACGAAAACATGTATTGTTTGTGAACGTATTAAATAGAGAAGTATGTCAATTGTTAAGCAAAAATAAAATGGAAAACTCATTCACATCACTATAGCTGGTGTGTTAGTGGACTCTTGTGTTAAAAACTACGAACAAGAATGTCATACCATTGACTTCCTCATAACTGCACTTGTGACCGAATATTCTAAGTATGTTAATTATGAGAAGTATTCTTACGTGTCTATGTATATATATTATATAACATTCATGGAAAGGCAAAGGATCTTTTATACCAGAAAAATAATAATTCCTTCTCCTTTTCTGCACATGGTCATTTTAGGTGCAGCTCTGCTTAAAGTTGGTGGACGGATGGTATATTCTACATGCTCGATGAATCCAGTTGAGAATGAAGCTGTGGTTGCTGAGGTATTTATGAACTTTCGTGGAAGAAACTTTCAGATGGATAGAAACACTAATCTTAGATAAGCCTTTTGATAATCATTCCATTTAATACAAAATCTTTTATTTGAATTGTTTTATCCTGGCCGGCTTGATTTATCATATTAGCCCGACACTAGTAGTCTTTGCATTTATGATATGGAGGATTAATCTAGATTTCTCTAACTTGGAGGTTCATAGGCAGTGCTGTTCGCACAGATATTTTTTTACTATGCTACTTTTCTTATATGCACTTGATATCTTAATCCTCAGGTTTTACGAAGATCTGGAGGAGCACTTGAGCTCATTAATGTTTCTAGTGAACTTCCCCAGCTTGCCCGCAGACCAGGTCTTAAGAAATGGAAGGTTAGATAGACGTTTTATATTATTTGTCCTGCAGGCTCTCTAAAAATGTTATGTCTGCTTTAAATGTTTGGGTTTCCAATAATTAAAAATTTCTTGCTTTGTTGATTCTCTTGTATTTTATTGCACTAAACTTTTATTTGTTCAGGTTCGAGATAAAGGGCTATGGTTGGCATCTTATAAAGATGTTCCTAAATATCGCCGATCTGTATTAACTCCTGGTATGTTTCCTTCTGGAGAACCGGGTGCAGAGACACCTGATCCTGAAATTAAACAGTCATCTGAACAATTACATGAGGATGGCACTGACAACGCTGAAAATGAGCCCCAGCTGATGGATGACTCAGCAACTACAATGGACAACTTGGAGGCGGAAGTCTCGGATCTACCTTTAGAGCACTGTATGCGAATTGTATCTCACGATCAGAATTCTGGGGCTTTCTTTATTGCTGTTTTTCACAAGATTACATCCCTACCTGGTACGTTATTTCACTCATAAACTTGCCATCATTTCGGCCATGCTTTATCACTTCAATAATATATCTATGCATCATATACATCAACTGACATTTACTTGTGAGCTCCGCTCTGTCTTTTGCTAATTTGGAAGCATGCTATGACACTCCTATGTGGATGGGATGGGTTTGAAGACCGCCATGTAACTTTTCTGATTTCTCGTGTAGATTGGGGGTATGATAGTAACAGAGTGAGAGTGTCCCACACACATTATGTAAACATTGGGCGTGCAGTAGCACGTGCATCCACAAAACTTACTAGGGCGTGGTCACTGGTGTGGGGGGTGAATCTAGCATTCCTTTGCAATTTTGGATGAGAGTGGGGTTTCAAACTAGCTTTTGATATCCTTATTACTAGTGGACTTTATACGAATTTATTTGCTTGAAAGTTTTTCGACATCCCTTGTAATCTTTTTGAAAATTTACTTGAAAAAATGCTTTCCAGCTTCTGCGGCCTCAGTGAAGAAATTTACTGGTGTTACTAAAGCTACTGATTCAGGTAGCCCCCAACCTCAAATACCGAAAACTGAAATGAAAGATGCCTTAAATGGGGATGAAATTGGTGAAGAAAATGTTAACGCCGGAGAAACTCCCAACGGAAATTCTCTCGACACTGAAATGGATGAAGCTCCATTAGAAGCTGACAAGAATAAGATAGATGATGAAAATGCAAAGGAGGAAACTGAACCTCCAACCGAAGCGAAAGTAGTTGATGCTACCAAAATTGCTGCCGGGAAAAGGAAGCTGCAGATCCAGGGAAGATGGAGAGGTGTAGACCCTGTTATCTTCTACAAGGAAGATGCCGTTGTCAATGGGATAATGGAATTTTATGGTATCAAAGAATCATTTCCATTTAAAGGTCATCTTATCACTCGAAATAATGACATGAACCATGTCAAGAGAATTTACTACGTTTCTGATTCTGTGAAGGAAGTTCTTGAGTTGAACTTTCTAGCAGGCCAGCAGCTTAAGATTGCTTCAGTTGGACTCAAAATGTTTGTAAGTTAGTTACCTATACTAAATTTCAACTTTCTGTTTTATATTTCGATCAATCAATGCCAGATATCTGAGTTTCTAACATTTATTATGTTTAAATTTTTCTTGCTAATGTTTCAATTCTGATATTTGGATTTCAGGAACGGCAAACCTCAAAAGAGGGCTCAAATGCACCCTGTATATTCCGAATATCATCTGAAGGACTGCCGCTGATACTTCCTCATATGACGAAGCAAATCTTACATTCATCTGTGGTAGATTTTAAACATCTTTTACAGTACAAAACCATAAAATTCCAAGATTTTGTGGACCCTGAGTTTGGAAAGAAGGCTTCGGAGCTAATGCTAGGTTGCTGTGTGGTTGTCCTGAAAAAAGGTTTGTGCTGTTCTATATGTTCGCAGAGGATACATATACATTGCAAAATGTCGGACATGTTTTTTTTTTTGTTTTGTTTTCTTCGTACTGCAATCTTGTGAGTAATTCTTGCATGCTGCAGAAGGCCAAACCTCGTCGGATGCTCTACCACCACTTGCCATTAATTGTTGGAGAGGTAGGACTAATGTATCTGTAATGGTGACGGCCATCGATTGCCAGGAGCTCTTGGAAAGGGTGACGGCTCCTCTGTCGACAGACACAGATGAACCCTCCAAGGGGGAGGCTGAGGCCGAGGCCGATTCCTCGATTGCAGAAGGAGGTGTTGATCATGGAAAAATGAAGGACTCTGAAGACGGGAGCAGGAGCAATGCAAGAGAGACAGCTACACTAGTTTGAACTCAATCAGCCTCAGGGTACCCAAGAGACAGACTTCTGATTGATTTTTAATTAATTGCTACCGTTTGCTATTTTATTTGTGTTATTATTATATATTATTATTATTATTAGATATTTTGTAATTCGGAGTTTGTAAGATTGGTTTGGTAGAGAAGAAAGAACAAGTAGGATGAGGATGGATGGATGGATGGATAATATATGGTGGTTATTATCGGGGTGCCCTGCCTGCCTTTAGTTGTTATATTTCTGTAACGTATCTTGTTGTGATGACTAAAATTACAGCTATGCAACACTTGGTAGTTTTTTATTTTTGGAATGATTGATTTTAATTTGAAAGTGGCTTAAATAGTAAGATAGAGAAAAATGTCATGAGATTTTTTATTTTTTATTTTTCACGAAACATAAAAAAAAAAAATTCAACACCAACTTTTCCTTCAGTAGAATAACCACACATTCAACGCAAAAATAGTAGAAAGCAGCCGCCATATTCATAAGGTGATACTATATAATCTGGAACAAAATTTGAAGTGTGTTTTTAAGTGCACTAATTTACAAATGAATGGCAACCAGCCAACCGGCCCCACCACGCAGGCAATGGATAGATAAATAGATAGATAGATACTAACAAGAAGCAAACAAGCATTTGGAACCTCAAACAAACAAACAATCAATCAAACATACAGAGTACAATCAAACATGCACCCAACCCCTCACGATCTACTACAGCACATGCTTTTCTTCTCAGGAATTACTTGTCCCGGCCCCGGAACCACGATCTTCTTGCCTGACAATGTTGCTGCTGGATTGCCATTCGCTTGATCTTCGTCTGCCACCAGGTTTTTTTTGTTCACAATGTTGAAGATCTCAGACAACACCGTCAAGAACGCTTCTTCCACATTTGTCGCATCCAACGCAGAGGTTTCGAGGAAGAAGAGTTCTTCTTTCTGCGCAAATTCTTTGGCGTCCTCGGTAGGTACTGCTCTCTGATCTTCGAGATCGGTTTTGTTGCCAATCAGGATTATGACAATGTTCTTGTCTGCATGCGCGCGCAGCTCCTCTAGCCAACGCGGAATGTGATCAAAGGTCTGCCGCTTTGTTATGTCATACACCAGCATTGCCCCCACAGCACCGCGGTAATATGCACTCGTCACAGCTCTGTATCTATTTGCAGCAGAAATAAAAGCTTGATGATGCAAAATTCTCCAAACACAGAACCGTAGCTTAAGCAGAACACACAAGAAATTGGCATAAAATATAGATTGATTGAACATCTGTCGTTCTTGGCCATTCATTTATAAGAACACACAACAAGCCCTCATTAACTTGGAAGCTACAAACCATTTAAAATCAATCCGAACGACCCAAATTTGGGTTGTTGATATATATATAAGGAATCAGTCAAGAAAAGGGCTTCAGAGTCATTCTTAAGAAGCAAATATAAGTATTCATTCATAAAGATGGTGAGCTTGTAAATATTGGCTAAGTTCATCTTAAATAGTCTAATCCTCCTAGTGAAAACCTAAGCCCATATAAAATTGACATATGGCGGAAAACAACACAGTTGAAAATTCTGATAAACAGGTAAAGTGCGGACTGGCAGGAAAGCAGCCGTAAAGTTGGTTAAGCACATCCGGCTATTATGAATCAATAAGAAGATTTATGAGAACAGGAGGAGAGAAATTCTATACTGGAAATAAACTTGACTTTCATGACAATAGCTAAAAGAATTCTAAAATGTGATTTGGCTCTTTCCCTCTTCACACAGCTCATATGCTAAAAGCTAGGCATGCATTCCGTCGCAAAGTCAGCAAAACGAGCTACAATGGAAATACAAGCAAGCGGGAATAGAATCAGAAATGTTAATGAACATATCACCCATGTTTGGGGGGAAACTCTACATTATCCTTCTTTGGCCAAGCATCATGTGTGTCGCAGCGATCTTTTTTCTGTTAAACAGCATCGCTAATCAATTCAATTAAATTCACATAGATTCTCTAGGGATTCCAGCAGTTAAGACAAGGTTCACACCATGCTATATAGATTCACATAGATTCTGTGTTTAGTTTTTTAGGGTGTAAATGCATCCAAGTTAAATAATTATGAGAAGGGTGATTTATCTTGATTTTTATATAACACGTTAGATTGTTCTTCAATCTTTTTTCTATATATAGAACACTAAGATTTAATGAAGTTCAAAATTTTGGGATGTGTATACTTTTTAAGTGTTAGTTGATACAAATATGAATTGAATGGCATCAATAGTTCAGATTATGGAATTCTTAAAGTAGTACTGGTTATGATTACTACAACATGAGTTCAGAAGTTGGAGTTTTGAAATATTGTCAATTTGGCCTTAGGCATTTTTCGGAGGATATTTTTGTTAGAAAAACAAAACAATCGACTAACCAATCTCATGCAAATGTTTCTCATGACTTGATACCTGATATTTACGGAAATTCTTCACCCATTTGGAAAATCTAGCTTGTTAGAGGCTTCATAATAAATGATCTCACAGAGGTTAACCTAAATTTAGTCAACAGTCAAAGCCAATTTTCAACTAATACTACAAACTAAACACACCTTTTTTTCTTTTTTTCTTTTTTAAATTATTGTTAAACACTACAATGAAAAATTGTCTGCAAGATGCAATTTTAGGTTGAGCATTGCCAACTACAAATTGCATAATAACTGAAAAAAAAACATGAGTGGAATAACTAGGAACAAAACACCAATAACACCAAGATAAACTCGTACAAATTTTCTTTTGGCAGTGCGATTCAGCGGAATTGGAGAAGAAAAGATCAGGATCAACTCAAGCAATCTCTCTCATCCCCCGTCAATGTTCAAGGTGATCAAACTAGGCATCTGGAAAGTTGGTTTTGCCAAACCCATCATTCCAGACAGACAATACTTTGTCGTAGAAGCTGGAACTAGAAACTACTTAGCTTACATAAAAAGATTAAATTAGTGTTCTGGATTCCAATTAGGCCAGGTTACATTAACCTAAGTGAAAAAGAAATTGGTCCTCCAACATACAAACATAAAACGAGATGCACAAAACATGATGGCTGCTTTCAAATAGCTTTACCTTATTGGTTATAATATAATGGCAAACAAATCCATGTCCCGAACACCGAGAGGAAGTTTTATATATATCGGGTAAATTTTCTATTATGCCTTAAATCAAGACATATGTTTCCGATATAGAATTTGAGCACTTTTGAAATTGCCCCACAAAGGGGCCACAAAATCCGTAGGACTCTACAGAGTAGAGGATCAATCATCAAAGTGGTGAGAGGAAAGAATCCCCAGGGTCAGGGTAGGTATCTGTTTTACAGATTCCACCTATAAATAATTCTTTTCAAACCTAAATACACTTAATATTCTCTAAAAATGAAATAGACCGATCTCACCGAGGTAAGGTTGTCTCCTTTTTAACACATCAATCAATATTAGCTAGCCGCTTGCTTATCATCACTTATTCTGGCCAGGCCAGATCAATTATTTACTATATTTAGAATTCCAGAATAGGAGGAATCGAAACCAAATTAAGTCGAGTAAAAGCAGCTCGTTCCAACCAAGTCGAGCGTTGAAGCTCAACGTACATGAACCAAATCCCTAAATCTTCTATAATAAGAAATCAAGCAATCAAATCATCGATAAAAATTCAAATCGATTCAGAAAATAGCAGCTACTTGCACTGCAGAAGCTTTTAGCACCGCTCGGATCGGATCGGATCGCTCAATTCACGACATGCAAGCAGTCACTGTCACAACCAATCATCATTTGCAGAACCAAAGACACTTAGTTATGTATGTATGTACCTTTCCTGGCCGGCGGTGTCCCAGATCTGAGCTTTGACGGACTTGTGATGAATAACCATAGTCCGTGTCTGGAACTCGACACCAATAGTGGACTTGGAATCCAAACTGAACTCGTTGCGAGCAAAGCGCGAGAGTATTTGAGACTTGCCGACTGCAGAATCGCCGATGAGGACGATCTTGAAGACATAATCAATCTTCTGGCTTGGATCGCCGTATCCCCCGCCGCTCGCCATCTCCCTTCACTTCCCGACGGAGAGAGAAATTATGACTGTATGAGAGAGAAAGAAAGACTCGAAGACAGCAGCGGAATCAGCTCTTAATAGAAATAATTACCGCATTATTCGATCGATGCACATCAACACAATAATAATAATAATAATAATAATAATAATAATAAAAATACTTATTATTCTTATGTTTCTTACTACTATTATTTTAATTCATTATATCGGTATTTTGACAAATGTGTGGTCTTTGATTTGTATTTTACTATATTTTATGTTAGATGAAAGAAAGGTTTGTTTGTTTTGTATTTTTGGTTTGAAGGGATATTATTTTTATATGAACAAAGCCCACGAACAATAGAGAATGGGCCTTACCCATCAAACTCATTCAGCCCAAAGACGTAAGAGTGAAAAACATGTCCAATTGGTAGTACACACTATCACTCGAGGGTTTTTTTTAATAGCAACCTAAACAAGTTAATCATATTATTAAGTTAAGAAAGTTAATCATATTGTCTAGACATTTTGAGATAAATGATAGCACATTGTTGATCGGATGAAACAAAGTGAATTCCGATGATCCCTTTGGAAATATAGTCCGATGATCCATTTGGAAATATAGTCTATCACCGTGTAGCAATCTACGTCAATGTACTTAATTTTTTCATAAGCATTTTGTGTTATCACAAAATAAGTCTACAACACTATTTTGAGACGTGTAAATATTTAAGTATACCGAGAAGCCAAGTTATTTCATCAAAGATTTGGACCATACGCCTATATTCTACTTCAACTAAGGAACGTAAGACTACGCTTGAACAAGATTAGCACAACAACTAATAACAAATTTTAAATATTGGACATGAAGCAAAATCAGAGTCACAATAAACTTTAAGAGTAAAATCAACGGTTCTAGAAAATAGCAGTCATTATCTGGGTCAACCCTTAAATATTTAAGAACTTTTAAAACAACACACATGTGAGACTCTTAAGATTTGTGGATGGATTGACTTAAAACTTGGATAGTTTAAACAATGTTAGACCTAATTTAAAATGAGTTTGTGGATAGATTGACTTAAAACTTGGATAGTTAAAACAATGCTAGACCTAATTTAAAATCACGTAGATAGTACTGACACAAATTAATTTCATATTTTTGTCTCTGATTTTGTCATATTCCATTCATTTTCTTTTGTTTAGAGATTCAAATCATCCTCATTTCTAGATAAAGTCAAAATGATGGGTAAAAAAGTTTACAACAATTTTTATCATTCAGGCCACAATTATTTTCTATCATATATCATTAAGTTTTATCATAATAGTTTTTTAATAATCTAAGGCTAGTTGCAACCTACAATCCCAATTACTGATGAACTTTTAAGGTTAACTCACCCTTATGGATTACAACATTTTGTCCCGGCCATTGTAGCATGTGTGTCGTCCAACTGTTTGGTAACTTTTCATAACCAATTTAACTTTATATCTTGGAGATGAAGATTTTTTTTCAAATTTCACGAGGTAAATTCATTTTTTTTTTTTTTCTCTATGATCCTTTTATATTTAGATAATTTTAGCAAATTAAAAGTGTGATTATCATATAATGATTTCATCTTACCATTGCATCCAATCATTTGTATTTGTCTTCGCTAAAGCTGACAATGATTTGATTCTTATTGAATTTGTGTTAGGTTGACTTTCTAAATAGATAAAATCACTCAATTTGAATTTTGATTTGTCTATCTAAATGGGTCAAAAAATTCGATATGAACTCAACCTATTCAAATTCGATTCGACTAACCTTAAATAGACATGTTTATCTATATAAAAAAATCTTAAAACTAAAAAATCCACAAATTAAATAATAACTAACCTATCCAAAAGAAAACCTAAAGTAACTAATTCGATCAAAAGTAATCATACATACTAAGAAGTTGAAAACATACACAATAACAGTAATTTTAAAATATATCAAAAAATTTTCAAATCACCACATACCATATATTTTTTAAAAAAAAAGTTAAAGATAAAGAAACCAAAGCTAACATGAAATGTATTTTTAAGATTGGATTGGGCTCAATTTATTTAATATATGATTTATTTTTATTTTTTTAAAAAAATATTAGGTTAAAATTATTATAATTAATTAATAAATATTAATATTATAATTTGATGATTGTTGTCTGATTCAACTTAAGGACCTCAACTATTTATATTTTACATAATATCTATAAAAAAAAATGATGAAGATAGTATCCGATTTTACAAATTCAGCTTAATTAAAATTATTAGATGTAAATTTAATGGATACATGAGCATATATATAGCGTATGACCTATTTTCAAAAATAGTAATAAAATCTAAAGTGAAAGATCACGAGAAAGAGCGCAGAGGCAACGAAACGAGGATCGTGTTGCAGCAGTAGAGTATTATTATTATTATTACTACTACTATTCTATTCAATTTGCCAATGTCCCATCTTCCTTCTTCAATATTCACCCCTCTCCCAACTTAATCCATCCAGCTTCCAAAAATCTTTCCCCAAAAGCCACTGTGAGATCATATAAATATAACCATATGTATGTATGTATGTATGTATAGATGGATGGAGGATGGTATATAGATATACTAGATGGACAGACAGACAGACAAACAAAGGGCCTACACGACGACGACAGACAGACAGACAGACAGACAATCGGAGGAGATAATACGATACAATACAATACAATACAATACAATACTACAGTCTACACAAACACAATTCAAGGAGACTGAGGCCAGTCCGCCGCAATGTCGGCAACTTGAATGTCACCGTAGTAGTACCACCACATCTCCACGTCTTCATCGTCGTCACTGGCCGCAGCCGCCTCCCCCTCCTCCTCCTGCCCCTCTCCCTCGGACCCCCCCCACAGCTCCTCGTACTCTTCCTCATCATCGGGATCGCCGGCAATGAAGTCGAACCCGAGGTAGCCGGAGGACCCCGAATCCGAAAGGTTGTCCCAGGCAGAACCGCTGTAGGGGTCGACAACGTTAGGCCCAACCACCTGCAGGTTGGGGAACCCGCTCGCAAACTCCTCATCCAGATAAACCTCCCAGCACCCGCGGATGTCGAGCAGCTCCAAGCTTGTGCATTTCCGGATGATCTCCTGTGCCGTCGACGTGCTCAGGAGCATATACGCGATCTCGAGATGCCTCAGCCTAGGCATCGTGCTGGCAACCGCAAGGCCCTCGTCATCTTGCGACGGCCTGTTGATCACCTCCAGCGGGTGCATGACTCGCCGCAGTGTAGTGAGCGACCTGCAGTTGCAGCCTATTGCTTGCAGAGCTCCGGCCCCGACGTTGAGGCAATAGCTCAAGTCCAGGTTGGTGAGATTCCTAAACATGCCCGCTGCGTTTTCCACCACGCCATCGGGGACATGGCACCTTGGCAGCCACAAAGTCTGAAGGGCTCGCACACTTGCAACAGAGGAAACAGTTTTCCGTTAATTAGCCAAGTTTAAAAAGGCAAAGGCAACAAGACAAGACAAGACAAAATTAAATGACGATCCTACAACAGCCGCCGCCGCCGCAAAGCACATGACGATTTAAATGACGATCATAAGACATTATCGGAAAGGACATAATGGTTCGGAACAAATTACATGAAGAGGAAGATCATATCATAGCTGCTCTATTGCAAAGCACTTGTAACATTCCTTGCAAATAAATGAAGACCATAAAATACGAGTGAATTAACAGAAGATCATAAAGAACAGCCGATATCGAAGTCGTAAAGCAGATAAAGGATTCGGTATGAATTAAATTAAGATAATAAAGAACTATATCCCGCCGTGCATATTGATTGAAGATCATAAATGGCAGTTTCCACGTAACATTCGGACAGGCTGAATGAAGATCACGAATAGCTGACAGGGCGAAACACTTACTGATTGGCAATAAAAGTAAAGCTTTCCTCGCTGGCTAAGCCCGAAACAGAGAGTTTCCGGAGCGACCCACCGCTTCTCGGGATCAGCAACTGAAGCATCCTGTCCACATTTGCCGGGCTGGTGCTGCGGCTCCAATCGTCAAGGTCGATCTCCTGCCAACAGTAGGGCCCCATGACTACCCGCCTCCACGACTTACAGACACAGGGCACCACCGTCAGCACCTCTTGGAGGGAGAGATGCTTGAATATAAGGCCGAGAGCATCAGGGAGCAACTCGTCCCATCTTTGTAGATCGCCAGCCTCTTCAGCCATTGGTTTCACAGGCTGCAGAGTGATGATGCGATCGTTAGATGCACCCATTTAAGTTTCAACACACAGCAAACTCAGCCAGGGCTTGGCTTAGATTCAATTCCAAAAGCCTCAGCTACTGATATTATATCCCTCAGTTTAATTTGCTGCGAAACAATCAACAATCAACAAGATAGGTGATGAACAGATCAATCTCATCTCACGACAAATTAATTCCAGAAATGTTACTATTGGGCTATAAATTTTCCAAAGAAGCAAAAAAATGAAACGAAAGCGCAATCAATCTTCTGGTTACAACTATGATTTCAAATCCAACAAAAGCAACACAAAACCCTAGCCATTCCATTTCCATATTGAACACACGCGGAATCACAGAATTCGTCCCAAAAATTAATTAGGGCAACAACACCAGCAACAGCGAAAGGCACGAATCATTGAGCAGCCAAAAATGTGCAGATCAGGAAGCACAAGCGGCAACAGAGAGGAACAAACCAAGCTCAATAAACACCGCAGAGGCAGCATTCGATTCGACGACCTCAATTACACACCCAGCACCAAAACACACAACAGCCACCGAATCAGCTCGACAAAACCAATTCCACAACGACACAGACTAACCCAACCCAGCGCATTTCACCAGCAAAAAGTAATTCCCTACAATGGGCAAAATTTCCTCAGGAAACCAAAAATCAAAATGAATACCGTGATTTCTGCTGGAATAACGTCGGATCTGCAGGGACAAAGCACGCGACTGTGTAATCCGCACAAAAAAATGAGGCTTTCAGTCACTTTGGCTTGTGCCCTTTTCTTCTGCGTACGCGACTGGGGAATGGGATAGGGGAAGGAGCTGAATCAAGTTCGATGGCACCTGGAATGGGATGGGGAATCGACCTGCGCTCTCTTCTGTTTATATAGTAGGAGAGAGAGAGAGAGAGAGAGAGAGAGGGGGGGGGGGGGGGGGGGGGGGGTTAATCAAAATGGTGGTTTATGGTTGAGGAATATCAAAAAAGTATATTTTTTTTAATTAATGGGGCTGAAATAAATGTATGCATACACACATAACCTGTACGTAATATTATCTGCTTGCTTAATCGGCAATTTCATTTTTATTTTGGGATTGTAGAATTAAATCTGGATACTTTTACTAATGTCATGGATTCTCCCATTTTATTTTTGGATTTGATTTTAGAAATATAGTTATTTAATTTTATGGTTCCATCGCACCAATAAATAGACAACGTATAAATTATAAATTTAAATGTATTTAGATTGCAATAAATTATACATATAATAATAATAATAATAGTTCATGTCAACTAATACAATATATATTGTATTAATTAAAAATATTTTTAATTTTAATTGTTAGATGGATATATATGTTATGAAATAGGAATGACATAGGAGTATAATACTTGTATTTGTTTTGCACTTCTATTGGATTTTGATGGATAAATTGTGACTTAAATAATAAGAATGAAATATATATGTGTATATATATATTTTGAATTATGTGTTTTTAATAAAAATAGAATGTAAACATATGAGTGTACTTTTTAAATAGTTTTTTAAACTTATTTAATAAATTAATAAAGTAATTTGTTCAACAATTCAAGAAAATTATTCAATAATTCAAACTTGAGAATGATCATGGTATCTTTATTTAGCCTGTAATTGGATTGAGAATAATGTCATATAAGTTATTAACATTTAATTAACCATGTTCTCAAAATAAATAAATAAATTATTACATGATCCGATATATTTTTGTTAATTAAAAAAATAGTTCTAAAAAAAAAACATTATTACATGATCCGATATATTTTTGTTAATTAAAAAAACAATTCTAAAAGTATTTTTGTCACTATCGACATAATTTTTTTTTTATATATATATTTGTTTATTCATTAACTTTAATGTAATTTGATAGATCAATTGTAACAAAAACAAAAAGTGGCGAAATAAAACAACAAGTTTATTTTGTGGCACATTGTTATTAAATCGTTACTTTATAGATGTATAATTTTTGTTTTTTTTTAAGCTTTTAGTTCTAATAGATTTTTTTTTTTTTTTTTTTGTTGATTGAGTAATAAAAATCAGTTTACTTATTAATAAAAATGTTATAAATTTACGAGTGTAAAAAAAATCTTATAGACTTTTAAAATCTTCTTTATAGGTTGTGAAATTGTAATTTTACTAGATTGTGAAGTTATAGTTTTACTTGGTTGTTATTGTTGGTTTTCTGTAATAATAATGATGAATGCATTGTATATATACTTTTTTCATATTATAAATTATTTATCTTTATCCACTTTTTTAAATTAAATTTTAATATATTTATTAGTATTTTATATTTATATATATGTAGTATAATAGATGAAGAATGAATAATTCTATCAAATTAAAAAAAGTGACAATGTTATTGTAATACGAAGAATTATTTATTTATCTGTGGTTACCACAATAATTCGACAAGCGGTTAAATGATTATGGGAGGAAGGAATATATGTTTTTAAATAATATTTATAACTAAATGAGTTCACACAGATTTCGTATATAAAAAAAATGGACTCATTCACAAATATATGTTGTTTTATATGTAAATTTAACGGTCTAATATATATATATATTATTAAAATATAAGAACAAATCTAAGATTTTATTAGGAAATTAAGTAAAAATATTGGATTAGATTTGGTTAGATTCAGTTTCAAATCAAATTTGGAAACTCAAAAATCTACACTAAAACACACATAATTAGCGACTATACAGAAGAACCGATCCGAAACCACAAGACACACACAAATTTAATCCTTCAAAAAAGATACAAAATGAAACAGAACAAATACAAATGGCAACAAGTTGAACGAGCACCTTATGACTAGGAACAATTTCAAACCAGGGAAAAAATAGTGCTACAGAAACTCCATAAATTATAAAAGAAAAGAGGCTGCCAAGAACCACCAGCAAAAATTACAGAGAATGGACAAAGAGGTCGAGAGAGACTAAAGAAAAATGGTATAAAAATATTATTTAAACAAAATCAAAATCAGCACTATTTATTTTACAAAATTTTTAATAAAAATATATTATCATTATTTTTTAAATATAGTATCAAAATAATATTGAGACAAAAAGTTCGGTACTCCGTTTTAAATAAATTTCAAACAAAGAAAAAGTAATAGAGAATGTAATATTGGAGACGTGTCGAGCATTTATTTATTACACGTGCACGAATGTGTACTTGCATTGCATTTGCCATGCAACCGTCATAGCATAGCATGGTACGAATCGAACAGCAATCTTTTGCAAGATCCAACGGCGACGGTGCATCAACGTAAATGGGTTTGCATTTTCCGCCGTTGATCTTGCTAGCTCACCCACTCGATCATATCTCAATCAAATCGCATGAACTACGTCAAATCACGCAGCTACGATTGCTACAATTAATTACCTCTTCGAAATCAATAAACAAACCCTCGAGAGCCCGAATTCCCGCCCGACAACGGAGAAGAAGAATTGAAAGAGGAGAGCATTCGAAAGCGTTGGCTATGGCGGAGAAGACCGACCTGAATAGCGGCGCTTCTCGACATCGCTCGTCGAGGGCGTCTTCTCGGGCAGCGCAGGAGAAAATACAGTCAATATCCAAGGAGGAGAAGAGGCCGATAAGGAGCGCGGGGGGGCGCAAGAGTAAACGAGCGAAAATTGATGACGAGGCTCAGAAAATTGGGGGAGAGAAAAGGGGGAAGCCGAGAAGGAAGACGAAACGCGAGGAGGCAGCAGCTGCAAATGCTACCGATGAAGAAGATAATCAGCAGGTTGCTGTGGGTAATCCCGTTCGCCATGGCCATGGGAAGAAGGTATATTGAGTTTTTGGATTTGAATAGCTGGATCATCTTCTGCTCTGCTACGTACTTCCATTCAATTTAACGTAGTTGTGCTTTGCCTATGCATCTGTTCCTGGATAAGGTGTCGAACTCGAACCTGTGCCATCAGTGTAAGAGGAATGACAAAAAGGCGGTCGTTCGATGCAACCTTTGCGAAACTAAGCGCTACTGTGGGAGCTGTATGACCAAATGGTGTGGAACTTTTTATAGAATTCATTTCTAGATTATTTTGATTTTGATTTTGATTTTAAGTTGTTGGTTTTTTTGTTTAGCGAATGGATGTGTGTATATGTATGCATGTATGCATCTTTAATTTTTTTTTTTTGGGGGGGGGGGGGGGGGGGGGAGGGGAATGACAGAAAGTTGTCGAAAATCTTGTTTGAATTCTTACTTGTCCCTAAACTAAGTAGGATTGCATGATTTGAATTATCTGAGGGTTCTCCGATTCGATGTGGGTTTTAATTGATGGCCTTTGGAATGTGGATCGTGCTTTCTTTACGGTTTGATGACTTAGGGAGGGAGTGTGAATGTGATTGGTATTAGGTACCCTGCGATGACAGAAGAGGATTTTGCTAAAAAGTGTCCATTTTGTCGTCAAAATTGCAATTGTAAAAGATGTATGCGGCTGGATGGCCCAATCAAGGTAGAATTTGTTGTTGGTTTTCTCTCTTGTACTGAATTTTGCTTCGATGTGCACGTAGCTTAATTAGCTCTTATGGTTGAATTATATGGGTCGACTCGTGCAGGAATTAATGGATTCAAGGGTGGAATATACGGATGAGAAGAGAGTGGAGTACTCAAAGTACATGCTGAAATTGCTTCTGCCTTTCCTGAAACAATTCGATGATATGCAATATAAAGAGAGGCAAGTCGAGGCTGGAATACAAGGTATATTTATTGTTCGATCTTCCAAGAGAATACTAACAATAATTATCTTGCACGTCGACTTACCTTTCTTGTTGGCTCAGAATGTGATTATAGCTATAACACACACTCTAACTGTTTGTTATTATTGAACATGGATTTGTCATGACTTAACGACAATAAAGTTACGTTGTTGACCGAGCACATAAAGTTTGTCGATGTCTGTTCACTTTTCATACACTAGCTAGATTTTGTTGAATTGTAAGCTTATGAAATTAATGTTGCTGGCAATGCCATGCTCTCTTTGATTTAAAAGGAAAACTGCAATCAGAATTACAACTTAAGCAATCACGATGCAGGAGAGACGAAAGAATGTACTGGTCAGTTGCATTATCGCGGGTCATTAGTACTATTTCTGGCAAAAGGTTCTGTTAGGTTGCCAATGCCAAAGGTTCATTGTTTGTTCTACTTTTTGCAGCAATATATGTAAATCATCCATTATTGATTACCATCGAAGTTGCCCCAAGTGTCGGTTGGATTTGTGCGTCACTTGTTGTCAAGAGGTGCGTGATGATTGTTCAAAGGGGGGCAATAAAGAAGTGGTGCTGAAATACGTTGATTATGGCTTCGAATACTTGCATGGTGATGGTAAAAAGTGCGTCCAGGAATTACTGGTTGAAAAAGATCACAAACACTCTGAGGAGTGGAGATCGACAGAAAATGGCGTCATTCATTGCCCGCCGAAGAGCATGGGAGGCTGTGGAAAAGGAATTTTAGAACTGAAGTATATTTTTAAGAACAATTTGGTCTCCCGATTGCTGAACAGAGCAGAAAACTTATTCAGGACACTGGATTTCGGGGATCTGCATAAAAGTTTGGATCCCAAGTGTCCTTGTTTGGACAAGAATGAAAATGCCAGCAGCATCCGCAGAGCAGCCTCCCGACATAATTCTGAGGACAATTTCTTGTATTGTCCGACTGCTACAAGCCTTCAGCCTGACGACTTGAGGCATTTTCAGTGTCACTGGTCGAAAGGTGAGCCTGTGATCGTGTCTGACGTGCTGGCAAACTCCAAGGGGTTGAGTTGGGCGCCAATGGTTGTGTGGCGCGCCTTCCGCCAGGTAAAACACGAAAAGCACGGCCAGCTTCTCGATGTGGTCGCTATTAATTGCTTGGACATGTGTGAGGTCAGTTCCCTTCCCTTCCCTTCCCTTCTTGTCTCGGTGTGTGTTTCTATTGTTTTCTGTGACCGAAAATCTTTGAAGTTTTTTATTTATTTATTATGTTCGATGATGGAATTAATGCTCGTTCGAAAACAACAGGTCGAAATAAATGCGCATCAATTTTTCATGGGGTATACCTGCGGCAGGTTCGACCATATGGGCTGGCCTGAAATCTTAAAGCTTAAAGACTGGCCACCCACTAAGTCCTTCGATGAGCAGCTTCCCCGTCATGGTGCGGAGTTTATCAGTTGCTTGCCGTTCAAGGAGTACACACATCCTCGTTCCGGATACCTAAACCTTGCAGTGAAATTGCCTGAGAAATCTCTGAAGCCGGATATGGGGCCTAAGACATACATTGCCTACGGCATTGCTCAAGAATTGGGAAGGGGAGACTCTGTGACGAAACTGCACTGTGATATGTCCGATGCAGTATGCGAATTCTTTTCTTTTTTAAGATTCTGTTGCGACATTACGCATGCTGCAGTGTGTTTGATGTGTTGGTTTTAAAATTTTCGGTTAGGTGAATGTGTTAACTCACGCGGAGGCAGTTAAACTCGATGCCGAGCATCTTTCAAGAATTGAGGAGCTGCGGAAAAGGCACGCTGCGCAGGACAGGATCGAGCTGTATTGCAGTGAGCAGGTAAGGTATTATTCCAAGGATCGCATCCAATTAAGTTTCTAGCTAAGTTTTGAATCATTGATGAGATATGAATTATAAGCAACAGCAACCAGTCCTGTCTTCAAGTATTGAGATACAGAGTATATATGAGGTGCAGGGCTCTAAAACTGGCGAAAGGGTCGAAGAAGGTGACGGATATGAAAGTTGCTGTCCTTTGGCTTCTGAAACCGAAAACCTTGAAGGTGGTGGCGCTCTGTGGGACATCTTTAGGAGGAGAGACGTGCCCAAATTGGAAGAGTACGTGAGGAAATATTCCAAGGAATTCAGGCATTTGTATGGCAACCCGTTGCCGCAGGTAAAAGATACTCCTATATATATTGTTGGGATAGATGGATGGATGGATTTAGATATATGATGGATCTCTTTAGTTAATACTATATGGTTTGGTGTGATGTATATGTATATGTCTATGTATATGCTTTCCTTCCTTGCTGGATATTTGAAATCAGGTTGTCCACCCTATTCACGATCAATCGGTGTACTTGACTGTGGAGCATAAAAGGCGACTGAAGGAGGAATATGGTTAGTTTGTTCGTTTGCATTTGCCCTTCTTATACCCACTCTGCTCTCTGTGTGTGTGTGACTGCAATTCAAAAGCAGCGGCGGCAGCAATATATATGTTATGGTCAGTCTGTTTTTGTTTGATTTGATTGCATTGCATTGCATAGGGATCGAGCCGTGGACGTTTGTTCAGAAGCTAGGCGATGCGGTGCTGATACCTGTCGGGTGCCCTCACCAAGTCCGGAATTTGAAGGTAGGTTGGTAGGTAGGTAGATAGAATACTACTACTACTACTACTGCTATCCTTTTAGTTAGTCTGGTAGTCGATTTTTTGCTGTTGGTGTTGGTGCTCTGGTGGGGGGAGATCAGAGCTGCAACAAGGTGGCGCTGGACTTTGTGTCGCCGGAGAACGTGGGGGAGTGCATGAGGCTGTGGGACGAGTTTCGCGGTCTCCCACGGGGGCATCGTGCCAAGGAGGACAAGCTGGAGGTGAGGAAGATGGTCGTGCACGGGATGCAGGGCGTTGTGGATGACTTGGAGCAGCAGCAGCAGCTGGCCTCCTCCTTCTAAGATCCTTTTGTTGGAATGTGTACGTCCGTACCTACATAAATGAATTGTGGTTTTGGTTTTGGTTTTGGTTTTGGCGTGCGTTGTCTGTCCGGTGAGAATCCAAGGAACACACACGGTTTTTAGCAAGTAAAAACACCAAACAAGAATTTTCCAGTTAGTTTTGCATGCGATTCAGACCCACAGGCCACAAACATGACTACGACTACGACTACGAGACCTTTCTTACCTCCTTCTCCATGCCTCTCTCTTAATTATTGGGGGGGGAGGTAGATTAGTAGTCTTCATCATCATCAGCATCTTCTTCTTCTTCTTCTTCTTCTTCTTCATCATCATCATCAGTGGTGGTGTAGTAGTACTCCTCCTCCTCCTCTTCTTCCTCCTCCTCCTCCTCATCGGATGTCCCCAGATAGTCCTCCCACTCGTCATCCAGATCAGGATCGCCGACCACAAAGTCCCAGGCGAGGAAGCCGTGGTGGTCGGAGGAGACGACGTCCCAGCCGTAGGTGCTGTGGGAGTCGGGAAAGTGCGGGCCGATCACGCGCAGCCCAGGGAACCCCCTGGTGAAGTCCTCGTCCAGGTGCACCTCCCAGCAGCCCCGGATGTCAAGGAGCTCCAGGCGCGTGCACCGCTGGATGATCTCCCGCGCGCTGGAGGTCCTCCGCAGCTGCAGGTGAGTGATCTCGAGGCGCCTCAACCTGGGCATGGTGGCGGCGATGGCGAGAGCCTCGTCGTCCTGCGGGGGCCCGTTGATCACCTCCATCAGGTCCATGACCCGGAGGAGCGTGGCGAGGGACGGGCAGTTGGTTCCGATGGCTTCGAGGGCGCGGGCCCCAACGGTGAGGCAGTAGCTCAGGTCCAGGCAGACGATGTTGGCGAACACCCCAGCCGCAGCCCCATTCTCCAGAGCCGGGCCGGGGACGCTGCACCTCGGCAGGCAAAGGGTTTGCAGGGATCGTGCGCTTGCATGCCCAATTTCAAAACACAAAACAACAAATCCAATTATGAATCAATCAATCAAGATGTTAAAATAGCATTAACTGAATCGAGTTGAATTGAATTGAATGAAGATCATCCATCATATGATCATATAATGATAGAGATATAGATCTAGTTGTTTCCAGTTCCAAATAAAATTAAGGCAATTAAATGAATGAAAACACATCACACAGACAGAGACAGACAGACACTCACCGGCCAGCTACGAAAGAAAAGGAGTCCTCCCCGGCTAGGCCGGAGATGCAGAGCTTCCGGAGCGAGCCATCGCTCCTTGGGATGAGAAGGCGGAGCATACGGTCGAGTTGCGCCGGGGCGGAGGTGCGGCTCCACTCCTGGATGTCGATCTCCTGCCAGCAGCGGGGCCCCACCGCTACGGACCTCCAGGGCTTGCAGACGCATGGCACCGCCGTCAGCGCCTCCCGCAGCGGAAGCTTTTTGAATATGACGCCCAGCGCATCGGGGATCAGCTCCTTCCAGTTCCGCGATGCTGATTCGCCGACCTCGACCCCAGCCCCAGCCTCAGCCTCAGCCATGCTGCCTTCTGTGATTAATGTGATTGTCATTGTGATTGAAATTGATTCACCTGCACAGACAGACAGACAGACAGACACACACACCGAAAGTGATGATGCATATATATGCATGCAGAATTATATAATAATCGACAGACTCAACAACAACAACAAGAATGCTATATATGTATGATCAGGGCTCATATTCAATACCAAAACAAACCAATTAAAGCACGCCGGTCCTGTGTGGATAGATGATGGGATGAGATGGGAATCCCAACTGTGGTGTCTGTCTTCCGCTGCTTGCTGCTGCTCGTATTATATAGTAATAGAGAGAGAGAGAGAGAGAGAGAGAAAAGGGTGTAATCAAATGTTGGGTTATGGTTGAGAAAATATGGAAAAGGGGGGATATACTTTTAATTGATGGGGCAGAAATAAATGTGTGCAACACACACAATCCATGCAATATTATCTGTTTTCTCAATTGGCAAATTCACTTTTATTTTGGGATTGTAGAATTAAATTTGGATTCTCTTTTTTTTTGCGTTTTGGATTGTCCTAATTTCATTTATTTTAGATTTGATTTCAGAAATTTAATGTAAATATTATATGTATCTACATATGAATTAAAAGATAATTTTATTTTTGGATAATAATATCTTTTTTACAGCAATACTCGAGTAGTGTGCGTGGTATGTATATATATATATATATATATATATATGCTTTACTAGGATGAATATGTATTGACGCAATTAAAGAGAATATAGATTTCAATTAAGTAATTTACACAAAAATAAAATTTTAGATTATATATATTCAATACTTTTAGAAACCAATTCAACAAATAGAGTAATGTGTTCAAAAATCTAATAAACTCATTTAGCAATTCAATACTAGAGAACAATCATGGAATCCCTGTTTAATATGAAATTGGATCAAGAATGATGTCATATCGAATATAAACATTCAATTAACTATGTTTGTACAAAAATCATTATTGCATCATATAATTATCTCTTTGTTCATTAAAACAATAATATAAGTATTTGTCGTTATCGACATAAATTTTATTACTTGCTTTTATATCTTTATTCGTTCACGAACTTGATATAATAAAATGACAAGAGATGACAAAAAAGTTATTTAACGGCATATTGTTACTATATAGGTATCACTTTATACTTGTAGAATCTTTCTTTATTATATATTATTATTATTATTTCAAGTTCTTAATTCGAGTAGTCTTTTTACAAATCATATAATAAATTCCAGGTGACTTAGTTGTAAAAATGTTATAAATTTTCGAGTGTAAATAGTAACTTAAATACTTTTAAGATTCTTCTTGTAGGTTAAGAAGTTGTCCATTTGTTCGCCTATTGTTGTAGATTTTAAATGTAATAATATACTAGTAAAAGAAGCTTGTAGTTTATCAAATTTGCAGTGATTTTTTTACCTCTTTGGTCTTAGTTTTTGGCTTAAATAGTTGGTTAAATGTAATGTTATGTGAGAAAAAATAATACTATATATATTTACATATATATAAATTGTAAGAATTGCATAATAAATGTTTTTACAAGTAATTAAATAGTCTATATATTATAACAAAGTACACTATAAATGTAATATGGTTTTATTCTAATACAACACTGAACAAATTATATTACAAGTAAATTATAGCCAAACAAGTTAATTTGTTATATTTTAGTCGAATATTATTATTTTACTTGTACAATATAAAATATTAGAAAAAAAAAAAAAAAAAACTCATTACTAATGACATTATTGAATAAATCAAAAGATAGCATAAAACAATACATGCATTTGTGATTTGTGTATGAGTTTTGTTTTACATACGTGGGTTGTTAAATATAATATCTTGAAGTAATTATAATATATATAGAATTGAAAAATCAGGATATTGAATGTTATAATTGAAGATAAAATCAGCAAGTAAATATACACAACGTTTATAGTTAAATACAAAAATCATTCTAGTGTTTTAGTCCACAAGGGATCGGGATGGATTAATGGAAGCGTGAGAGTGGAAGTGGACTATAAACAAAAAAAGAAAGAAAAAGGAACGTAGACAAACCTTTATTTTGTCAATAAATATTTTTATATAGTATCTAGCTTGTCATCCAAATCAAAATCAAAATCAGACGACGAAGTCTCTTTGACAAGAAAGCCATGCATGGGCATGGTTGGAGTGGAGTGGATCAGTGGAGACGATGTCCCATGGATTAAACCTCAGTTGCACTGCACTAGCTTAGTCAGTCGTTGAGGGAGAGGGGCTGAGGGAGGGAGGGTCTGTAGTAACTACTTAACTACTTAGAGAGAGTCTATCTCTTAATATAGTAGTATCATCATCATCATCTTATGAATGTATGCACTGCACTGCACTAGCTATTATTATTATTATTATTATAGTCCTCCAATGATTAATCCTTCAAGACAATGCAACTACTCTTCTAATTATCTATTCTTCTAAGAATGAGAATATTATTAGCTAGTATTAGTAGCTTGCAAGTAACAAATTCTTCCCTGGTAAACAATTTTCATCGAATCCAACTTTAATTTGTAATGGAGTGATGCCAACAATACATACAGTACCCACACCCACCCTCCGATCAAATAAATAAACCAACCATTCAAGGCTCGGCTTTTCTTTTTTTGGCAAAATCATTTATAACTCGTAAAACAGAATTTGTATTATTTTTCCCGTCACTTAAAGCTAACATAAAATTGGGGGTTTGTTTGGTTTAATTCACAATTTGAATTTAAATAATAATATTAAGTAATATTTTATAAGATAAAACATTACTTTTTTTATTGGATTGTACAAATAATAAAATTTAATTTAATATAAAATAAAAATATATATTATTTGTTTGAATAATTTGTGTTTAAATATATTTTGTAAATATTTATAGATATTTATTGCAATAGTTCGAATAAAAATTAAAGTTTTTATATAATATCTTTAATAAAAATATATTTATTTATTTATTTAATTACCTATTTTTTAAATAACACACTCGATAAATAATATTAAAAGGAATTCAAATATATAGGCAATCAAACCTTGTTTCAGATTTATTCTGAATAAAAATAAAGGGTTAATATTAATTATTTTAATTAAAAAAATATACTATGTATTTAGATTTCATTGCTTCTTTTTTTAAAAAAAAAATAATAATTTTAAAAGTTTTTAAAATCAGTTCATATATAGATATAAATTAATCTATATTTAATTATTTCAAAAGTAATTTATATATAAATATCACAATAATTTAAATTTTTAACGAATTATATATTTTTTATTTTACTTATAAGAACAAACATATTAAAATGATAGTATTATATATTTTTTATAGATAGCAATCAATTTATAATTATTTTTATATTATAATATTATTATTTTTTAATCTATTAAAAAATATTAATTTTAATTAGGACAAAAACTGAGCAGCAATGATATTACTGTATATACAGTGTTACGATTGATGAGTCAATAATCATAATGTACAATTTGTACGTCTTCGCACTAACCGTCTTGTCAATTCCAAAACCGCTCTCCACCACACCCCGCCGCCGCCGACGACGGCCGGGAATCCTCTTCCTCAACCACTTTCATCGATCTCTTTTGAAATTAATTTTTTAATCTCACGGATTGTAGAAATGGCTACCGCATGCGCATTTCCACCCAAGCGGCTTGTAATTGGCGTATCTGCTTCCCCTGTTCGAATCGAAGAAATCGAGCTTCTTCTTTCCCCGGCCGGCCGCGGAGTTCGGCATCGACGGCACCTGCACGGCGGTACAGGGATGGCACTGGTTGCATTTATTGTGGCAGGTCGGCGGCATAGAGCCCAGCCTTGATTTATCCGCAGTCACCAAACCCTACACACGAGCACCACATGTTCGACAAAATTACTGAGAGAAAAGAAGAAGATAAAAAATCTATGTTTGATGTATGCAGACAGTAAATTCGAACACAAGTGAAGTGACCATGGAAAGTGTACCCTGAAGATGTTCGCAGGCTGATTTGCGTCGAAGCAATGCGCAGAGGAGAGAAGGGAGAAAAGAGCTACAATAACGATGGCAACTGAGGAGGGAATTAAAGAGGTAACACAACTCATAGCCATGGCTGCATTTTATATCGAATTGATAGCCTTCAAAATACCCCTTCAGTGAAGTATGTATGAAAGAAAGATTGTTTAGTGATGCTGAAATGTAGAAGGGAAGGGAGAAAGATTGGCTTTTCTTGACAGATTATCTTTCTTTTTTTTTTTTTTTTAATATAAAAGAAATTAAAAGAATAAATGATTATGAAACTGTTTGGTGGGAAGGGAGAGCACAGAGAGAGAGTGGAGATAGTTTGGTGGAATGAAGGGGGGGAATAGATTAGTGCAACTCTGGAAAACTGGAGCGGAGAGCATACAGAGGTTACAGATAGAGAAGAAGAGGAGGGGGTGGGGTGGGGTGGTTGAAAGGAACAAGACGTGGATGTAAAACAAAAGAACGTGAGAAGCGGTATCAGAGGATGAGTGGGGGGAGGGGGGGCCTCCTGGGGCAAAGTTATTTCTTTTGCACTGTTGAGGACATGGCAATTACTAGCTGTGTAGAAAGCGAAAGGTCTTTCCACCATGGAAAGGGATGCTGGCTGGCTGGCTGGCTGGCTGGTTCTTTGGGATGGTAACTAAAAGTAATAGTAATACTCCATAATAATAAATGAATACTAAAATGAAGCAGGTGACTACTTTCTTTACAGTCTTTTTCATTGCTTGTCTTGCATCAGTGTTTGGATTTTTCGATAGTTGGTTGATTGATTGATTGAAATTGAATGAATGAATGAATGAGAGAGGAAAAAAAACAGAAAAGAAAGAAATAAACAAATGGCAATATATTTTCTTGGTGCTCTTTGATTTTTTTAATGTGAGTTTTTTTCTCAGAGTGCCTTTCTGGTACTGCTGTGCTGTGCTGTGCTGCATCTAGTTTGGCATATCATCATCAACTCCTCCTCAATTTAAGCTTTTGTAAATGTGTGTGTGTATGTATGTATGTATGTATGTATATATATAGATATATAGAGAGAGAGAGAGAGAGAGAGAGAGAGAGAGAGAGAGAGAGAGAAATGAAGCTTACGTATTTGTCTCTTGATCCTTGAAAGAAGGAAGACAAGAAATGATTGCTTGAGCAGAGGAATGAATGGGGTGAATTAGGAGGTGTAATTATCATTTATTATTCACACGAGGGAGGGAGGAGATGGCCTAAAACTAAAAGCCTCCCAAACTGAAACTGTGAGTCAAATTTCATGTAACCTTACCTACCCACCCTACCTAACTTTTCTTTTGCGTGCCCTGACTTGAATGAATGCATCCATCTCGACCGGATTTGCCTTCTCTTTTCTGATTTGTATTTTGCGTCGTTGCTGTTTGAGTTTGAATAGTTTTTCAATACCATATTTTATGATAATAAATTTAAAGGTTTTTTCGCTTGCTATTTTAATTTGAAGAATTTTTTTAGTATGAAATTTATAGAATCGTGTGGATGATATAAAAATTACTAATATCTTATGTTAATGTTGATTTAATAAAATATATTAAAATTGTGTCAGAAAATTTAAAAAAGAAAAAAAGGCAAACAAACTAATGTTTTTAAAATGAGAATAGTTATTAAATGTAGTAATATTTTATGATGATATATGTGATTTTTACGTTTCCACAATGAGTTATTTTATTGAAAATATATATGTGATGTTTAATTTTAATCATGCATAGTTTTTATTTATTTATTTTTAAGGCATTGCCACGCAACGTACAGATCATGTGACAACGTTGGGTTCTAAGCCAATTTCTAATTACTTGACAGTGGATTTGGGCTCTAATTGGGCTTAGCCTTTTGCTTGATTTCATAGTGTTTTCTCTTTAATTGTCTGACTCTTTTTGCTCCTTTAATTTCAACGATTTTTGTTGTACTCTATTTAATAATTAGCTTTGCGGTCTATTTCTTTATCAAAAAAATTACAAATTTTTTATTTGAACTCTGATTTTTTTGAAATATTTTATCAAATATTATTATATTATCAAATTCAAATCAAAATTTTTGCGTAATTTGTAGTGTGAGAACAAAATTGTGAATATTTTATTTATTTATGACATAAGAATTTGCACCATTATTCTTTGAATGCTCAATGAGTATATACCCAAGATAAAACAAAATTCTAAAGTTTGATTCTAACTAAACATATAAAGTGTGTATTTGTTTAGAATTTAATTTTTTATTATAAAATTATATTAATTAATTATATATATAATATAGGAGTATTATTTTTAATTTTCTCATACTCAACTATACTTTAAATAAAACACCAAAAAACTAAAAATTAGTGGTGTGTTTTGGCTTAGGTTTTACTGTTTTAAAATATTATGTTATTGAAAATTATTAGGATTAAATAAATGATAATTTTATTTGAAAATGAACCCTAACATTTTGTCAATATTTTTATTTATGAGAACAGTTTTTTTTTTCTATTGAAAATAAACAAAACCTTATATGCCTACCTACTAATTAAATATTGCATATAAGATTTCAACAAACCTAAATGAATTTACATCTATAAATTATATTGACATAATTTGATAGGGGTCCATGTCACTATATTCAATAATATTGTAATATTTTCTATAGTTATAATTTCGTAATATTCTAGAAAGCTGACCTCGTAAAATACTTGGCAATAAATCATTGTTATGCAGATTGTTTGACTAAAAAGAGCCTTAATTTTACTTTATGTATGATCAGAAATGGGACTAAAAATATATTGATAATCATTTCAACATCATGACTTCGATCCAATATAAAAGTTAAACCCCGACAGCAAACAATAAAATAAAAAAATAAATTGAATTCACCGCTAATTTAAAAAATGGAAACACAAAAAGATGAATTGGTGTGCTTATTGCCTAAAAGGAAAAAGAATAAATCGGTACTATTGATTTCAATAATTTGAATTAATGATTGAAAGTAGAAAAGAACAAATTAGGGGACGAACTTTTAGTAAATGTTGATTTTTTAATCGAATTATTAATTGTTATATGAAAATAAATAAAAAAAAAATGTTTGTGTAAACAATAGCCAATCATTGAATTTCAGGGTACAGGTAAATAGTAGTAGTATATACTTTAACAGTGGATAGAGAAGAGTAGGATTAAATAAAGAGAGTTATTTAAGTTACATTTCTTTTTAATTGCGCCTGCGCGTGTGTGTATATGACACTAAAGAAAGGACAGAGAGAGAGAGAGAGAGAGAGAAGGAAACACTCTATTAAACAAATATAATATAATCTAATATAATATAATATATACGCACACGTCTCTCACTGCCCTGTCCACACCTAAACAAAACTATACAAATATAAACTTAAATTCATATTTGAAAAAAAAGAAAGAAAAAAAATTAAAAGAGGTTTGGACGGCCACGATCCCGTAGACGACCGATTAATCAACAATCCAACGGTGAAGATGGCGCCAAATGAAAATGAACCCTAATTAGTAATTAATCGTCTAAGCTCGATCGGTTGTTGTTGTTCCCGGCGGACAGGCGCCGTAGCTTATTCCAAAAGCCGCCGAGTTTCATCTTCTTCTTCTTCTTCCTCATCCTCCTCTTCAAATCCAAATCCAAATCCAAATCCTCGTCTCTGGGCGGCGCAGGATAAGCCACCGACCGGCTCTTATTTAGTCCGGCGAAAGCAGAGGAGATCATGGAGCCGATGACGTCGGAGGCCACTCGGTGATGGCGGCGGCGCCTGGGAGACGCGGCGGAAGAAGAATCGCGGGAGGACAAGGTACGGTGATGAGAATACATGGAGACGGAGAGATCGGCGCTGGTGTAGAAAGCATTAAGATTAGTGTTGCAGGCGGCGGCGAGTGCGAAGAGGCGGTCCCTGAGACAGGCTGGGCAGACCCCCGGCTGAGGATTCTGGAACGGGTGATTTCTGCACACCGCCGCCATTTGGGGTTCGAACGCGGCCACGCCCATACGCACCAAACCAATTCGCGATGGGATGGGGGATTTGGAATCTCAAAGTCTGGAATTTGTTGCTGCTGCTGCTGCTGAGTTGAGAGAGAGAGAGATTTATACTACTACTACTCCATATAAATGGTAGAGAGAGAGAGAGAGAGAGAGAGAGACAGACAGACAGGCAGCGTGTGAATGCGCGTGGCACGTGTGGTGGGCATTTCGTTTCATATTTTAATGTGTGCGTGTGCGTCGTCGTCGTTGAATTTGGGGATTTGAAAGGAGGTGTAAAAGAAGACGACGACACGTGTGGGCTGACGGATCGGATCGGAGTATTCGTATTTATTGAGATGCCCAGTTGGAGTGGGTGGGTCCCGCGGGTTTTGGTCGGTCTCTTTACACATGCATGCGATGGTCGGGTCGTACTTGGTTTGAACCAATCGGACACACTTGCCCTTTTTCGTCTTTTGTTATTAATTCTACTAGCATTTTATTACTAATGGGCAGATTTGGACAACAAAAGAAAGAAAGAAAGAAGGGGATGGAGGGATGGATGGGCTAACTAACAGCCAACAGGATGTGAGGGGGGAGCATGGCCCAATAGCCCAGAATTTTGATTTAGAAAAATAAATGAGGAGATGTTTCAATTCAATGCCGAATCTTCTTCTTCTTCTTCTTCTTCTTCTTCTTCTTCTTCTTCTTCTATTACTCTATATTATCACTATCATTAGGAGAGTTAAAAGATATGAGATTAGGCAAATAAGGACGTCCACAATCAACCAAAACACACAGTAAAATTTGGCGGAAATCCCACGAAAGGGAACACACCTACTTATTTGGATGACAAGTGTGTTTTGGGTAAAAAGATATACTGCACACACCCACAACCCTTTTTATATTTGGGTAAAAAAGATATAATAACAGTGCAATTAAATTTATCGAGTGAGAAGCCCAATACTAATTCAAGTTTAATTTGGAGGCCCGAGCCCAAAAATCCTCAACCCTCCTTCAATTGAATCCCTGGTTTTCAATTGAAATCTCGAGTAAATGGCGACCGGGGACGGGAGGGGAGGGGAGAGAGAACCGACGGTCGGTGTGCGCGCAACGGCGCAGCGAGGGTTTGGACGGACGGTATCGACGGCAGCCACACGGTAAAGCTCGGCTGCTTTCTTTTGTGATTTTGGAAACTTTGACAGTCCGATGGCGTTTGAAAATAAATAAGAATGTGGTAGGTGTGTTCTTGATGCGGTCTTCTGATGCAACCATTAACTTGGATATCCAAGATGCTCCATGATTTTGAATTAGTGGATACTTGTTGTTTTAAGCTGTCTTTTAGTTGAGTAAAATAGATGGGATTTGTGATCTGCTGCAGAAATGTCAGCGAATTCTAGGGCAGGAGATCAGTTGAAGATGGTTGATCATCAATCAAGGGTATCAGCAGCAGCCAGGTTACAGCCCACCTTTCAAAGATACCAACGTTTGGGCAGGAAATCCCCATTTCTTAGATATGGTCTACCGATGATCTCGCTCACCGTTCTTGGAGCCCTGGGACTCGGCCACCTATTACAAGGAAGGTCAGTTGTCTAGTCTAATTAGATGTTGTTGTCGTATCATATTTGCTTCGAAATGGATATTCTTGTTTGTATGTATACTTTGGGAGGTTTTATGTGTGTAAACTAGTGTGCTATTATTGCCAATATGAATAATGATATGAATAGTGAAATGCGTTCTGTTACATATGTCTATATGATTGAAATTTTGTATGTGTGAAGTAGTAATATATAACAATAGAATGATGTTATTGTGAGATGCAGGGATGTAGGGTATGAAATTGTCAGTATAGTTAAGGGTGGTGATTGAATATTGAATTGTTGATGCCTATGTAAGCATTTAAAAGTATTAGTTTCATGAAAGATATGTTAGGTGTTTCGAAAATGGTCTTTATAAAAATACATCCAAACTAGGTAGGTGATTGCAATCTTCATATTTGCTACCAATACGTTTATGTAAATTGATGTTATGACCTTTGAAATTTTAGTAGGCTGACATCCGTAGTTTGCTTGAGTTGCAAAATTGTGAATGTTTATGAATGGAGATAACAAGTTGTCCAAACAATTAAATTCAGCAAGGACATGGCTAAAGTGAAGGACGATCGAGAATGGGAACTTATCGAGACAAAGAAAGCACTGTCGAGAACAGGACCGGTAGATGCCTATAAACCCAAAAAGACCTCCCTGGAGGAAGAGCTGAAGGTAAGTGGTGCATATCATTTCATTGTTACACATCCACATACAATGGAAATTCATACCTAAGAAGGGATGGGATGTTCTTATAACAGGCTCTGCAACAAAAGGTTGACATTAATAATTACGAATACAAGAGAATCCCGAAGCCCAGTGAAGGAAAATGAATGAGTGCAGATAAAATACCTTTGCTGGGATGCAATTCACAGGTTTGAATTCCTGAATGAATAAGCTGCATTCCCTTCAATGTTTCCCTGTTATGATTTTGGCTTTGTAGGGTTGTATTTTATTTTTTGGCAAGTTATGGTGTTTGGTGGGGGAAGTTCTTGAGAGTTTCTATTACCTTACCTTAGTATGCACAAGTATGAACTTTGCTCTCCACACACTGGTTGCTCAGTTTTTGCCCCTTTAAGAAGTACTAGAAGATATTAGTTTGTTTTCAGCAATGCATTTCTTACATTACACAGAGGACCAGTTTTGTGCTTTCCGGGATCCCTAGCTTCAATTTATTGAGCATTTCAAGTTATAGAACAATCTGTAATTAGCAACTTGATTTGGGTGAGTAATTTGGTTAACTTCACAATTTTGGAAAATTTGCAGTATACATAGATGCATGGAAGCTAGACAAAACAATAAAAATGTAAACACGATTTAAAAAGTCTTGAATTGTTGCTGCGTCCATTTGCAAATTTTTATTGATCTTTACCTATCTCTATTTTTGTTGATTTCTATGTATGTAATCACGAGTCGACCATTCGATTGATATTTATTTCATGCATAGATGGTTCTATGGACTTGTATAATTCACCAGAATCACCATACTCGGTCACTAATTCTATTTTTATTTTTTTAATTTTTAATCCAATCATTCTTCCATATCAACATTAAAACACTTGGTCACTAATTACTTGCATTCACTTTTTATTTTTTTCATTAGTCGTGACTTTGTTTTTTTAGTTATAGTATAATAATCGTTTTATATATATATATATATATAAATAATACTTAAATATAATATCTTAAAATTTTAAAAGATTTTATAGTAATTTGAAAAAATAAAAGCAACCCGTAAATGCTATGCGCATTTTGATTTGCATTCACAAGTTGGATAGGTTGGGTGTGCTTTTTTCCGGAGTTTTTTTATATCAATTTTTTATTTTGATTTTTAATTCGAGTGTAATATTTTATAGTGGATATATATTCATTCATATGCAACTAAAAAAAAATTAATCAAACTCCAAGCAGCGCTATCGATAGTAGATAGACACTTGAACTAAAATAGGAAATGTATTTAATACTATAATATGTGGAATACACTTAACTTTTAATAAAATACTAAAATATTTTAAATAAAATCTAATATACTTGAGAAAAAAAAATACGAATGAATAGTGCTCGCTCAAAATAATTCGAAAACACAGGTAAACAAGCACGTCATCACAGAGAGAGAGAGAGAGAGAGAGAGAGAGAGAAATCTTGGATCCAAAATTTTATTCTAGCTCAAACTAGCCCGACAAAAGTTTAAACTTATTTCTTACCGTATCATGTGTTGTTTATGTGATGTGTGCTTTTAGTACTATGTCAATTAAGTACAACTGTAGCTTAAGCCAAAGACAAAATATCTAAAAATGGAACCGATTATTGTTCAAATTAATTGAGCATCTTAAAACCAGAAACCAAAAAACAAAAAACAAAAAATTATGTACGCTAATAACACCTTGCCAGCAATTAAAAAGATGCGAGCATGTATTGTATCCTCCCTCTTTCCAAAATAGTTGGAAAGGTGGATCATTTCCCTGCTTTCGAGTGCTTGATAAGCCACTTGATAACGACATCGATGTTGACCGAGTCCTTGCATGAAATCATGTAGCAGCATACTTCTCTATCGGCGATCGAATTTAGTCCCCTGTGGAAAGGAAAGGAAAGTGAAGGGAATAAACAAAACAAAAGCCTCGATTTCTAAGAAAAGAGGTTGCAAGAAAAATACTAGTATTTAGTATTGGAGCCTTTTTTCTTTTATGGAAACTTACAGCTGCTCGACCAGTGCTTTCTCAGGCAGAGCTTCAGATTTGTCGATTTTGTTACCGAGGACGAGAATTGGAATTCCAGCTAGTGAGGGTTTGTTCACAAGTTCGTGCAGCTCGCTTTGGGAGATTGGGATGCTGTCTCGATCAGCAGCATCGACAACGTACCTGTCGAGAGTAGATTTAAGTAAGAAAGAATGACCAGAAAAAGGCAATGCAATGCTCTGTTTGGATGTCAAGACACCGACATAACTTTCAAAGTTTTAATATCATTCTACTTACATAAAAATCAATAATTCAACACAAATTACTATAGTATTGTTTATATTATTGACACACTCTCCATGCCTCTTCACATAAAAATATCTCAAACTAAAAACCTAAACAAAAACATATTTTTGCTCAAATCTAAGAAAAAATCACATAAAACACTTATATAAAATATTACATATAAAATTTATTTTAATTTTAATCCAAAACATCATATCAAACACTTATTATACTACAACCAAACACACATGTTTAACAAAGTCGTAATGCTCAACTAATCGATAGACTTGGAGAATTCAGCTAAAAATAAAATTTTGGGCAATCGTTTCACAAAATCCACTCGTTGAATAGCTTGATGACGCTACATGTAAATAAATATTTTGTGCTTACACATCGGTGCGCATGTCATGCAATTTTAGATATGATTTCGTAATTCATATATTGCAATTAGACCACATGATGGACCAAATATGGAAATATATTAAAGGCATGTGTACATACAATATAACCGAGACACCACGGCAGTAGCGCTCCCACATGGAACGGAATCTACTCTGCCCTCCCAAGTCCCAAAGCTTTATGGTCACATTCCCTTTTGTCACTTTGCGCATGTTGAACCCGACCTGTTCCCAAAAAGACGAAAAAACATGATCAATTAATAATTAGCTGTTGATAGAAGACAAGGCTAACATCAATCAGTATGATCAATCAGATACGTACAGTTGGAATCATATCCTCGCTATAGCCTCCGGTCTGAAGGAAAACAATATCCACGTGTAAGACGATCACTGATCACGGGAATAATAGAAACATATATCCAAGAGAGAGGGAGAGGGAGAGGGAGAGAGATCACTCACAGCAATTGCATTAACAAGTGAAGTCTTCCCAGCATTTTGAAGACCGACAAGAGTGAGTTCCATCTCCTGCTTGAAAAATAAGCTGAAACCAACAATAATTAGAAATCGATGAAATCCAAAACTTGGCTTTGGATTTAAACACTTGGTCAATGTACTTATAAGGATTATCGCAATTTCCACAACTCCTTATGGATGGATGTTTCCTCTATCATCAAACCATAACCTTCCAAGCAAAGCCCCTAATCCAGAATCCTAGGGCTCAGTTTAGGTGGAAGTGTTTTAAAGTTTTGGAGTTTTGAAATATTTTGATAATAGAAAAAAATTGAATATTTAATATGATATTTTATAAGAGAAAATATGTATTTAATATCATAGCTTTTTTTTTAAAACAAAAAAGGTTCCCATTGAAAATAGTCTCAAAAGTTTTGAAAGTTTCATGTGTACAGAGTCTATGTAGAACAAGACACAAACGAGCCCTAAAATATTTTCCAGAAAACATATACCTATTGTGCCAATCACTCTGTTACCATTGATGAATGGTGTCAAAAGTTTTAAAAGCTTCATGTAAACAGAGTATGTAGAACAAAGACACAAAAGAACCCTAAAATCACTTTCCCTTCTCATAAATTAATTAGATAAACTTTTTCAAACGATTTCTCAAATCATCGGTGCTTAAAACGTAGGATTGCAACATGAAATTCTCCCACATAATCATTAACTAAGCATACATAGTACATCCTGAACTTTCTTTTTTACTAAGAAAAATCAAACAGAACCGACAATCTTGAACAAATCAGATTACTCAATCACCTCAAACCACAAAATTATTTACAGAATACACCCTACCACTCTTCGTTGCTTGCAAAACAAAAGTTAAAATTAAATCAGATTTGTTTAGCATGAACTAATTTCTTCTTCTCCATAGGAACACAAAACTAGACAGTAAAAACCACAGCAGATAGGATGGGTAGGTACCTTCGAAGCCAGTTGAGGAAAGCTTCCCACAAGCCCATTGTCAACCTAAACAGGAATTGTTCTGACAGAAGGAATACGAAGTGGAATCGAAGGCGAGAACTTGTATTTGAGTCTTGTGGATTCTCAGAAAAGAATCTGAGGAGAAAACGAGAAAACTGAGCTAAATCCGAATCTTCAGCGACCGACTGAATGGATTCTTATAATGGCGAGATTTTCGGTTTGGGGACGACGACGTTTTGCACCAAACTCTTTCAATCTCGTAGAAATCAAGGATGTGTGTTGTTACTTTCTCCGGCCACCTTATGCTGTACAAGTACTATATATATATATACACTTCTCCGAAATTTGGTGGGCTTCAAACTTTAGCGGATAAATAAGACAGTATTAAATAATTTTTTATTCAAAAAATTTGATTTATCTTTTGCATCAAAAGAGACGATATTATATTATAAAATTCATATAGATAATATTTTCATTTTAAATATTTTATATTTTTTAAATTTAAGATTTTTCAAATTTTTGTAATTTGTATTTGCTTTTATATAATTTTTTTTTTTTTCCTAAATGCTACTCCACTTATAAAATTATTTGCACTCAAAGTTAATGCAAATTTAGAAAAATAAATTATTAAAATGTGTAGTACTATTTCAATTTTTTTTTTTTATCAAAACTAAAACTAATCAAGTTATTTAGAATAGTTTGGAGTTTGATTTAGATTTTTTTATCATACAATTTATTATAAAAATAAGATACTTAATATATTTTTTATAAAAAAATACATCTAAATTAGTATTTAAATTAAAATAAAATAAAACTACAACAACAACACACCACTACCACTACCACTAAAATACAATTATAAAAAATAAAAAAAAAAAAAAGAGAAAAACATATGTGTGTAAAACACATAATTCTTCAAATTATATTCTAAGTTTTCAGTTCTTATAATCAATCAAGAAACGATATACAATATTCTATTGTATTGGCACTACAAATAATGAAATTCATATGAAAGTATATATATATATATATATATATATATATATAGAGAGAGAGAGAGAGATATAGGAAAACCAAACTGAATGCGTTTCGTTATTCTTGATTAAGTGGGAATGAAAAGTATATAATTGTATGCCAACATTGCACTTCAGCTCTTCATTTTTCACATCATTTTTCTTTTCTTTTTTTTTTTTTTTTTTTTTGTTTTTGTTTTTTCACTTTAAATTATATACATATACCTTTTTTAATATATATCTGTGTATTATTTATTTTATCTCTACGTTGTTATTTTTATTTATTTTTTAAATAAAATAATTGTTAAATGTAATTTTTTGTATGAAAACTCAATATATTAATTTTAGGGAAAATTACTACGTAAAGCTGCATGTTAATAAGGACAGGAAAAATTAAAAAGAAAAGAGCCTGTTGGATGTTTTATGAATAATGGTGATAGTTGGAATTAAACGGTGATGATATCACTCTTCATTATTTTATTTATAAAACCACATCAACCATACCATATAGTATGAGAATGCAACCAAACCTCATTTTTCAAAAATAATTCCCAATAAATATTATTAAAAACTTTCAAATATAAATATACGTCAATATAATATATACATTATTCAATTATAAAAAGTCAAGTATTCAACACAAAATATTATTTTTTATATTTTATATAATACACAAAAAAATCAATTAATTCAACTGGTTATTTCATTAAAAGAAATAATAAAAAAACCACTTCACTCAAACAATATACAATCCCCCATATTACTATCAAAATTTTAATAATCAATAGAAAATAATAATAATAATAATAATAATAATAATAATAATAAACGACTATTTCTAAATTACTAATGAACACATCCTAAAAAGTTACTCAAATATATAAATATATATATATATATTGTTTCTATACAGTAATTTTTACTAATTAAATTCTATATTAAATAAAAAAAACAAAAGTACATTTTTTTTCTCCTAACAAAATATAATACAGTACTGCATATATTAAGATTTGTTACGTACGAAATTTAGAATTAGGTTAAAAGCCCAAGGTAAAACGAGGAATGGGCCTGGCAATAGGGTTGATTGAACTGGCTGAAGGACACCGTGAGGAAATCAAGGAAAATAAATTTATTTATTTATTTCTAAGAAAAATTCAGGACGGACGGTCTTCAGGTCGGGAGGTCCGCAAGACGGAAAGACCTCAAGTCGGAAGGTCTTCAGGTCGAGAGGTCCGCAAGACGGAAAGACCTCAAGTCGGAAGGTCTTCAGGTCGGGAGGCCCTCAAGATGAAAGACCTCAAGTCGGACGGTCTTCAGGTCGGGAGGTCCGCAAGACGGAAAGACCTCAAGTCGGAAGGTCTTCAGGTCGAGAGGTCCGCAAGACGGAAAGACCTCAAGTCGGAAGGTCTTCAGGTCGGGAGGCCCTCAAGATGAAAGACCTCAAGTCGGACGGTCTTCAGGTCGGGAGATCCGCAAGACGGAAAGACCTCAAGTCGGAAGGTCTTCCGGTCGGGAGGTCCGCAAGACGGAAAGACCTCAAGTCGGAAGGTTTTCAGGTCGGGAGGTCCGCAAGACGGAAAGACGATGAGTCGGAAGGTTTTCAAGTCGGGAGGTCCTCGAGACGGAAAGTCGTTGAGATGGGATATCCGCAGGTCGGGTAAACTGTAGGTCGGATAGAAGGAGGAGTCGGACAAACACGGAGGCCTTTGATCAAAGACAGGGGGCGGTTGATATGGAGGTCGGCCCAAGTGGGGTCGGGCGAAGAAGTAGGTCGGACGAAGGACGAAGTCGGGCCAAAAGAGCGGAAGGTCTGTGGTCGGCTCAAGGAGTGAAATATAGGGAATTTTGGTCTGCTGGGGACACGTGTCAGCATAAGAAAGGTTGGAAGACGGTTGAGAAGGAGACGTTGTAACCGTTCGGGTGACGGTTTTCAGTACGGTTTCCCAGGGAATATTTAAGGATTTGGATCATCATTTGGCAAGGCATCTTCAATCAACTTCAACAAAGCAAAGTCAGATTTGGGGATCACCACTTTAAATTTCAGTCTTTTAATTTCCAGTTTAGTTTCTGTACGTTACAGTGTTTAGAGATTCCTAATCTCAGGCACTAATTAATCAAGTTTAAGGATATTTTCTATATCTTTGAATTTTACTTTATTTTTGTTGAAAAAATACATCAACAAATTGGCGACCACAGTGGGAGCAAGACAAAATTGCTCATTCCAATTCCGGCGATAGTTTCATACGTCTTAGATCCGGCCGAATCATCGGAAGGGTCCATATGGCAGGGTCACAACCGCAAGCATCTTCGACACCGGTGGGAGAATCCGTTCCACCACCCATTGTGCCAAATGCCGGGGAAATCCCACAACCACCAACTGATTGGTGGTCTTATGTTCAACAAATGAACAACCAGCATACCTTGGTTATGCAGAATATGTTGCGTGAGCAACAAACGAACATGTTGCGTGAGCAACAGAGTCAGTTGCAGAACATGATAGATCAAGCATTGTCAAGGGTTAGTCTTCAACCCACTCAAACGCCACCAGGAGTGTCACCGTCCAGACCACAGGCAAATTTCGCAGGGCCATCATTCGTGGATAGTACATTCCCAAGTGCCACAAATCCCAACCGAATGGATCGGGGAAAAACTCCTTTGACTTTTCCCAACAATGTTCCACTGGGACCAAGGGTTACCAGTTCGCAGCCGAACAATACAAGGGAGGACAGGCCTGAAGGATATATACATGATCCGATTCATATTCCTGTGCAGGATCCGTTCCAGGTTCCTGATCATCAACGCTTTCATGTAGATCCTGATGAGATTGCACATATATTAAGGGATCAGTATGGATTAACTCCTCAGATGGCTAACCGCCCTGCATATCAAAGACCTTTCCCAGAAAGGATCATTCATGAACACCCTCTCCCAAGGAATTTTCGACCACCCGACTTTCATGCATTCTCAGGGGAGGACGGATCTTCCACCATAGAACATGTTGGTCGGTTCACAGCACAATTAGGAGAGGTTGGCAATAACCCTTTTTATAAGTTACAGCTGTTTGGTTTGTCTCTTACCAGAACGGCGTTTTCATGGTTTGTAAGTCTACCTCCTGGACAAATTCAGACATGGGAAGGATTGGAGATGGCATTTCACGCTAGATTCTTTAATCCTTTACCAGTTGTTTCTTTAACTGATTTACTTGAATTGAGACAGTATCCAGAAGAAACTGCTTCACAGTTTATAGAAAGGGTGCGATTGATGAAGGGACGATGTCCTACGGTAATCAGTGAGAAAGAGATGACCAATTTAGTGGTCCGGAATATGCATAATCGTTTAAGAAAGGCACTCACTGCCCTGGATGTTGAGGATTTGGCAAATCTTGCATCCAAGGCAGGACGTCTAGAGTCTTTGTTCAGAGAGGAAGATCAGCATAACAGGCGTAATAGAGGCCAACATATGGCGAGTATGGGAACAGAAACATGCGACTTTGATTTTAATCAGTCAGAAGAGATGGCAGCCGAAATCCTTTCTGGAAAACCGTATGTATGTCCTAAATTGAAGCCAGTACCAGGATCTGAAGGAAAGGAGCAACCGACCTTTGATAGTTCGAAAGCTGATGAAATCTTTGATATCCTACTGACTGATGGGCAGATCCGTATTCCAAAGGGCCAAAGACTTGCCACTAAAGAAGAAATCAAAGGGAGACCATATTGTAAGTGGCATAATTCTTTCACACACACTACAAGTCAGTGTACTCATTTTAGGAAGGAAATTCAAAAAGCCATCAAGACAGGTCGGCTCAAATACATCACTTTAGGTGTAGACCAGCAACCATTTCCGAAAGTAACAACTGCAATGGTTGACATCCAACCAAGTTCGGAAACAAGGAAAAGTTCGGTCAATAGTGGACAAACAGGGGAGCAAACTCAGGCAAGTCCCGGAAAAAAGAAAGGGAATCAGCCAAATAGCAGCCGACCGGAAGAACGACTCAAGGTTGTTGAAAGGCCAGTCGCTGAAAAATGGGACCGTCCAGACGGTTCTTTTAACGTGGAAGTGAAGGAAAAGGTTTTAGTGAGAGACCACCCGACCAGAAAAACGGGTTCAGTCGGGAACGATTGGGCTCGAAATAAAAAGCCTTTACCCGTTGATATAGATCCTCGTTTCCCAGGTATGAATCGTACACAGATTCGCAATGCCAAACGCAGGTATGCTGCAAAGTATGGGAAACGAGTTCCTGCAGTGCAACAAAGAACCGACGAACAAAATGCGGCCGACCAC